CGGTCACATAAAGGCCTGTGACAACCTTACGTCAATAACGAGAGGCATGTCCGATCCTTATCTGGCTAAATGGATAAGAAAGAGGCAAAGTGGATGATTTCAGCCACCTAAGTGACCTCTCGGACTCTTATGGAATCCATGGGAAGCACCTCGACCCCTTTCCTTTTCAGGTCCTACAAAGTTGAAAATTCTTCGAAAGTAAAGGCTCTAATCCACAAAATCAAGCCATTTTCAAAGATTTCAGGACTAGGTGTCAGAATTTCAAGTGATGGTGGAAGATGTATCCTAGGGTGATATAATGTTGTTTGGAATCGCATATATGTCAATAATTGGTTACATAAAGGCTCAGGATGACTTTAACTAGCTAAATAATTAGTTAAAATGCAAATAAAGTGGACGATTCCAACTACCCAAGTGGCCAACTGGCCTCACAAGGTTTCACGGGTTCCATGGAAAGCATCTCACCTTGTTTCCTTTTTAGGCACGAAAAAAAAAAAAAAAAAAAAAAAAATCCAAAATTTAAGGGTATAGTATGTGTTTTTGGACCAATTTCGAAGAAAAAAAAATTACTCATAGAATATAGAAGTAGATGTATATGTGTTAAAGGATAATCACTCTTCTTTGTTAATGGCTGTAGTTATCTCTTCCTCTTATTCTTAGCTTCTGTTTTATCTTCTAAGTTTATCCTTTGTTATTAGTCAGATGTACTTTAGGTTGTTATAGTTTCTAGCCTTGTACATAGCTGTACCGTAGCTTATCTCTTCTATAAATAGGATTGTAATCTCTACTTTGAAACTCAATGAAAATAGATTCAAAATCTTATAATATGTAGGGAAAACGTTTTGCGTGAGACCAGACACACCGACACCGTGAGTCCAATATGTCTGACAATAATATTCTAATATCTGACAATACTATTCTAATATATGACATCAATAATCTAATATATAACATTAATAATCTAATAACCTAATATTCTATATGATTGTCATATATTATAATATTATTGTCGTATATTAACCAACTTAATAATTAATAATCCTATTTCCTACCTCATATCCCACCCACATTCATATACCAAACAAAGGTGAAAGAGGAGAAAAATTAGAGAAATACAAAACACAAAATGGAGATACAACTTTTTACCAGGGAAATCCTAAGCTGAAGAGGACAGAGATTATCAAGTTTCCAAATCTGCCGTCGCATCCACCGCCGCCGTCCTCCACCTCGACCCCAACCCCTTCTATAGCTCCTGAACTCTCCTCCCACCTTATCTCTCCTCAACCTCAACCTTCTCTTTCTTCTCCAACCTCTGACGAAACATGTTGCTGTCGAAGGTGCGGCTGGGTGGAGCTGATGTTGGTAATGTGTGAGGAAAATTGAGGAAAATGTGTATTTATGTAGGCGGACTCACGGTGATCTCCGTTCTACACAAATTTTTTCCATATGTAGGGGTGTATCCTAGGATCATAAAAGTTTGCTTGGAAGTATAACATGCTTCCAACGATTTTATAAAGTCCCAAAGAGGAATTTGGTTCAATTATTTAATTTGCCAATTTTAATAATACGTTGGAGTGATAGTCAAGAGATGCAAGAGAAGGTTTTGGTTCTATTAATTTAGCAAGAATCGTTTAGTAGGTTATCAAACTCACTCTTAGATCCTTTCAAGGTTTTTAATATAAATAACATAGATTTGTAATAAATTCATACTTCACTTATTGACTTATATGCCTTTTATTTCGTTTGAGTAGATTAAGATGAAAATCTTTAAAATAGAAAAAAAAAAAAAAAAAAAAAAAAAAAAACGTTATACCAAAGCTTCTAATTTAGAGTTTAGACAATGTAAATAATTGCACCAAAAAAAAAAAAAGAAAGATTATTCCTACCAAATTAGTGATGAACAACTTTGCAACATTGCAAGCACACTTCACAATTTTCTTCTTAAAAATTCCCATACACTATAAAAAGTAACAAGGCCGGACAAATAATGTAGACAAACTTTAATCATTATATCTATCACTAAAAAATTTAATTAATTAACCACCTAAACTTTTACATCTACCCCTTTTTATAGCTAAAACTTGAAAATTATATTTGCACTACCCTATTAATTAAGAAATTAAAAGCTAAACCCTTAAATTGATAAACACATGTAAGGAATTCAAACTCTTCCTCTCGATAAATATAATTATATAACCCAATATTTTTTAAAACGTGATTAGTTTTAAAATAGGTTTAAAAAGAGCTTCAAATGTTCCATTATCACTTCTTCATAATTTAATGGTAAAACGTATTGAGGAGATCATAATGATGTCTAATTGTTACAATTAGTTTACAATCATAATATGGCCTTAGAAAGTTATGGTGGATGTCTAAGTTATGTAGCTCAATGATTAAATTGATAGGCCATCCCACTTCTAGAGGAGCAATCGATCGAGATAGGCCATTTATCACTTAACTATTAAAAAACTTGATAGAGACCCCATAACTATCATTACCTTGTTGAATTGATCGATCATATTCATATATACTAGCTACATGGCAAAGAATAGCATTAACAAAAACTATCTCCGATCCCCAAGGCGCTAGATGATAATCAAGAATTCTAGAATAATTTATCAGGATATACATTGACGATTAATATCAAGAGGAAACGCGTTGATTGCCAAATTGATCAATGAAAAAGTTTTTAAAAAAAAAAATCATACAAATTTTAATATTAATACTTTTTTCGTTTTTTTTAATTACATGTCCTAGTCACGTTTATCAACATAAGCTCAATCATATGTATCTATTTTTAATGATGAACAATGGTTATATAAGCAAAATAAAAATTATGAATTTTTTTGATATTTTGAAATTGCATCATAATGTAACAAAACCTTACTTGAATATATATTTACTACATACAAATCATTGAAAATATGGTCAAATAAAGAAGAGTGAGTAATTAGTGCTAAAGTTAACTAAAAAAAAATGATTGAAGTAAAAGTAAAATATTGTCATGATCTCATCTTTCTGTATACGTTGAGTTGTTTTAGATGATAAATTAAATTAGGCCTTACTTTGTTTGCTTTAAATTAGTTTCATTACTTTTAGGAAAAATAAGATAAAAAAAGTTAATAAGTTTTTTTTTTTTTTTTAAATTATATAATTTAAAGGTTAATTAAAAAGCTAAGGACTACTCAAATTCAATTTATAATTACAATTAATTTTAATAAGTTTATACAGTATAAGTAAAATTCAAGTGAATTGAATACAACACTACGCTCTCCTATATTCGCAATATATCTAAATGTTTTTCAAATATTTGCATTGCACCTTTCAATTCTCAAGATATGGAGATCAAGAACTTGTTTTTGGCTGCTTCTCGATCCTAATTTCATATACGATCGCATGGCTCTCGAGTCTTGCACTCACTCATACCCCATTAGTCTATAGGTCAAGTAGACACGTGGCACTTGCTACATATTAGTGGCCAAAGCGCATGTATTATTCGATCGTATAGTTTGTTTTCAAAACATAAATGGGACCAAAATGCGCTGCAAATTTTCGTGGTCTCTTGTAATTGCATTGAAACTTGAAATATGGGGCCAAAAAGTACGTTGATTTTTGATAGATTTTCCCCTATTAGTTGCACTCGTGTTTAGGCTTCCATGCAAATGAAAACTACTTCTTTCAAGAAAAATCAAGATAAGTAAGTTAAGATCTTAAGATAGTTATTTTCGGGATAATAAGCTCAAGTGAATTACATTCAATTAATACTATGGCCTTGTTTTGGCACCCGAGAGGTTAAATGCTAGCCAGAGATGTTAGTTGTTCATTTGTTTGTATGAGAATTAGAGCTGATTTGACTTGTTTTATGAGTTAATATTACATGTGTTGTGTCAAAGTGTTTAGTAAATACTGTAATTATTAACCGTTAGCTACTTTCTCAAGTAATATGACTAATAAGAATTTATGCATAACCAGTTGAATGCTTAGGAGAATGGTACTCCTTTCTTTTTATTAATTTTTTTTTAAAGTGTTGCATTGGGACTTTTTGCACTATTTACTTGATTAATCACTTTGACCAATGTTTGTAAATTACACATAAGAAAAAATATAATTTTGTGGGTACTTGTTGGAACCGTTTCATTGAATAGATTATTAATATTCAATTATTGTAATTTATAACTAATTTATAATTAAATATACTATTAATCAAAGTTTTGCATCGGTATGTGTGCCAAGCTCCAATGGAGCATTAAATAAAAAATAGAGGGAGTAAAAAATTAAAGATGTTTTGTGTTTTGTTTTACTATTTATTTTCTAATTTTCAGTACTTATCAATGAATTAAACAAAAACGTATTTTTCCTAAAATAAAAACGATACTTTTTATGAATCAATCGAACAAGTCCTTGATTCATAAAAGAGGCAAAAAAATCAAAATATGGTACAGAGCATAAATATTAAAGGTAGGCTGCATAATAATATTTTATTTCAAAAAGATTTACTTATATCCTTGAAAGATATCAAAGATACAGCAATAATCAAAGGTTAATTGGACTTAAACCTAATAGGGTGGGATGGGGATTTGCACTTTAATTGAATCACATAAATGTATTAAGGAACATTATACATCTAACATCACTATTAATCAGTTTTTAGTTAGCAAAAATTTCATGTTTAGCGTATATAAATATAACGTTCTACTTTTTACGACTTCACCAACTAACTAAACTCGTTGATATTCACGAGAGCACGACAAAACAAAACACAAAAATGTAAGCAGAACATGAAATATCGACATGCTCATGACTTAGTTTCATCACTTCATGAAGAGACGAGGTAGGCATAAAACTAATACCTACTTAAGGTTTTGTACTTTAGTAGGTAAGAACTAGGAAGATCTAAAAATACTAATATTGCCCGTGATTGGGAATTATCCTAGAAAATTATATTCACACAAATTAAATTAAATTAAATTAAATCTATATTATTATTCGTATAATCTATTGTTTTTATGAAATTATAAATAAGACCAACCTTCCTACTAGCCACTAGCCAAAGCTCTGTCTACCCACTTCATCGTCACAACCTTTGCTTCATTTTCTCTCTCCTCAAAAACAGAGGCGTAGCAGTTACACACCAAGTTATTAAAATTCCACCCTACATTTCTTTTTTATTCAAAAATTTCATCTTTCTTCTTCTTTAAACTTTGACTTACACAAATCCAATCAACATCATAAATTACCCTTCACCAATTTTTTCTTTTGTTTTTTTCCCCTACATTTTATGATATATTCTTGTATACATATATATTTCTTGATAAACCAAACATAGCCTAAATTCTTACGCAGAATTTTTCTCATAGAAATTGTCTTTAAAGTCAGTTTCTTTCTTTTGTTCTTGAATTTTTATAAATACCCAGATTATAATTTCCTTCTGATTAATTACGCTAAATTCTTCAATTTCCTTTATTTGGGTTTTTCTGGCAATCAAACAGGGCACAAGGATTATCCGAAAACGGTAAGCATTTTTTTCAGAAAAAAGAAAGGAATACAAATTATTTTATTTGGGTTATTGTGAAATTCTATTTTTGGATTAACTGTTTTATTGGGTACTGTGTAAATGTGCAATCCATAAGTTCAATTTATTACTAATATTCCTCTGTTTTTTAATTTATCTTTTTTTTGGAATTATTATCAGGAATTAAAGGCTGAGTTTCTTGGAGAAAATTCATTGGGCAATATAAAAACAGGGGTTTATGATGATCAAATGAATGGTTTTAAGTATGAAAATGGTGGTGATAAATCTGATTGTTACATAGTTGACTTAGAGAATTTCACCAATTGTGGAATTGACAAACAGCACTCAACTTCTACAAATTCATCACGAATTACTGTAAGTTCTATTTTTTCCTCATCTTTTCAAATGGCAGTTATTGAAAAAAGTGACTTGTGTTTTTGTTGTACATTTCTGAATTAATACATACTCGGTATTTTTTTAAATTAGTACTTATATTTTCATTTTAGATAAACCGTTTTGTTATGTTTTTAATTTTCATAATTTTTCCTCAAAAAAATTCCCATAATTTATACCGTTAATTCGGGTTTTAATTTTTTTGGGGTAATTGGTGGTTGGATGGTTTCTTGTTAAGAATGTTATCGTACTTGGTCCATATTATGGAGTGATTATTATTGATTTATATGTGATGTCTACCTTTTAACTTTCGGCGATTATTGGGATAAGATTTTAATTTTTTTTCCTTGGAATTTTGTTATCAATTCTATCCCTTTTATTTTTCCATATAAATTTTTATTTTTATACTACTTGTTAAAGTATATTTGAAAAGCAACATAATAAAGACAATAGTCAATCTTTAATCTTTGTGTAACGAAATGAATACGGAGTTATAAGAAATCGAGAAAACACATTGGTAATCTGAATTTGTCTAACTAATACTTGTAGATGATTACAATTTTACATTAGATTAAACATCATTCTTTTTTTTTTTTTTTTTTTTTTTTTTTTGAGGAAATCATTTTTTTTCATCAAAAAATTATAAATTTCTTCTCTCTCTCTCTCTCTCTCTCTCTCTCTCTCTCTCTCTCTCTCTCTCTCTCTCTCTCTCTCTCTCTCTCTCTCTCTCTCTCTCTCTCTCTCTCTCTCTCTCTCTCTCTCTCTCTCTCTCTCTCTCTCTCTCTCTCTCTCTCTCTCTCTCTCTCTCTCTCTCTCTCTCTCTCTCTCTCTATATATATATATATATTAATGGTGGTCTTGTGACCCGCCATGCCCCAATATAGCCTCGTAATGGTTACAAGGGTTACTTTGTCAATATTATAGGGATTACTCAGTCAGTGTTACAGGAGTTACTTGGTCAGTGTTATAAGGATTACTTTATTCTTTTACAAGCGGACATTTGATGTGATCAGCCGTACACAAGACGCACTGACCTAAAAAGGCTCGTTGTCATTAGGGTTAAAGGCTTAAAGTACGCGGTCCGCAAAATAAGTATGGAGTAATCATTATTATTGAATGTGTTACATGATCTAATTCAATTTGAATGAGTTGAACTTCCCTACCTTTTAAAAAGTATGAGAGAACACTTATGAATAGTGTGAGGACCTTATCCACAAAATGTTTGTTTATGTAAATGCCCCTATTCATATGATTTTAATTGCCTCTAAGCTTTACCCTGTGTGATTTAGTTATTCAACTCTTATGAATAGTGGTTGATTGGACAATTATACCCTCTAAAATGTTTATTTACTTATTTGCCCTCATTAATTTTAATTACTTTTTTTTTTAAAAAAAAATTCTTAAGAATAGCGTGCGAACATTTATACCTTAAAAATATTTGTTTATATATTTTTCCTCATTAAGATTGCCAACACTTGAAAGAGCTCTCCAAACATGTGTCTATGGCTAGCTATGGCGCGACAACCACCTTAGTATGATAATAAGGTTAGATAAATTCTACCGTAGTAAATTCAAATAAAATTAAATTAATTTCAAGCAATAAAACACAATATTGAATTTGGGACCACTATCCAATACTCCCACCGCCTACAACTATACACACTTTCAAAATTTTTTAGGGTAATGCTATATGCTATACATAACATTAAATATACTTTATAAATTAGTACTCCGTACAAATTTAGAAATGATGGCAAAAGCACGAGTAAATTAGTGTTATAAATGCTTATTTTTTTAAATCATTCCTAAAGGCTACATATAACATTTTTTTTATACTGCAAAGTAATACAGTATATAGAGTACAAGTAACGAGTAGTTTTATGGAGGGAATTTTGTAACTTACGACTATGAGTAATTAATTAAGTAGGTGTTGAAGTGAAAACTTCTCAAACAATATATGTAAATATCCCACATTGAGAAAAGAAGAGAGTTAAACACTTTAATTTATAAGGCTAAGGGGCTACTCCTTCTATTGACATATGATTTTGGGATGAAACCTTCTTTCAACTTATAAAATGAACTCTCTCTTGGTGACGAATGCGACCTAGATCTGTATTTAACCTGTATTTAACAATAGGACTTGTATGGACACAGGTAATGATGTGCTCCTAAAATGAAGACTCACATTTTCTTATCTGGAAGATGGTCCAAATTTTAAAGCAGATTCTACTACATGACTCCCCCACAAGTCCCACAACAGTGGCAGGGGCCGCTGAGTTGGTCTTGTGTAATTGTGATTTCTGAAATCATTTTCTGTACAATGTATGAGTGCGACACTACAATTTCTGAGAAAAATTGTTGTGTATGTCATGGGCCTTTTAGAATTACCACTCTCTCGCACAGACTCACTCTATCTGATACAGCCATACAGGTACTAGTATCTTCCTAGGGATGGGTTGTAGAGAATGTATACTAATACTACAAGTGACTTTTTAAAATACGGGTGCTAGTATCTTCTAAGGATGGGTTGGGCAATGAGCGATAGAGAATTTGTGCTACATTGTCTTTGGGATTCGTTATACTAGGTACTCTCCAATTAAGAAAATTTACAAAATTGATCTAATAAGTAATGATAAGATAAATTTTGATATGCACGGATTCACTCTGCACTACAATAGATTTAAAAGTTTGCAGGTCTCATATCCATTTGCTTATATACTTAGTAGGAAAAAACTTGTGTGTCTTTTTGTTTACTTTTTCTCTCCTCACTCCTCTTCTACCTCAAGTACTCAACCATGGCACTGTACGCCGATCACTTCTTCACCACCACAACCACCATCTCTCCGGCCGAACACATCACAACAGCCACCACCATCATCACTTCTTCGCCCATCTTCGAAAATTAAGCTCAATTGTGGGAGCTTCAATGGAGGACATGGTCACCCCTTCCCTTTGGGGTTGACCATGCCCTTAATTTCACCCTTCATTCCTAGTTTTTTGTTTTTTTTTTTTTTTTTTTTTTTTTTTTTTTTTTTTTTCAGATGTGGGTGGAGATTGGGGAAGGTGGAAATGGGGAAGCTTGAGTTTTGTTCCGCCGCGGCGTTGCGGGCTTGAGAAAGGACGAAGAAGAGAAGGTCGACGGGGGAAAGAAGATCGGAGGTCGACGGGGAATATGAAGATTAGATTGACTTGAGAGACGGTGGCTGTGATGATGGTGGTGATGGTGGTGGCCGTGGTGGTTGTGATGATGGGAAAGAAGAAGCAATTATTTACAATTGTGCCATTTGAGTAACAAATGTTGTTACTCAAAATGAGTAACAACGCAAGTGATCATAGAAATGTCATTGATAAACCAGAAATGTTTTAAATGATAAACCTTAATAGTGTGTTCTATTTCATGCTTTTTACTTATCTAAACTTATTAAAATTATCTGAAATTGCTTGAAATTATTTGTCCTAATAAAATTGAACTTGGCTATCATTTAATTAGTGTAAGAGATTAAGAGTAGCAGCTATGCGTTTTGACTGTTGCTTTAATAATACTTGGTGAGTAGTATATATGAACATCTAATGACTACCATTTTCTAAATCTGGACCCCATTGCAATAAAGATGTTTCTTATACCATAAAGTGCCTCTTGATAGGTCATATACCATATGATTGGCATTGTGTCTGCCCTCCTAGTAATTGGACGGTTGCCAAATATTACTCGTTCAATTTTGCATTAATTATGGCTCAAGCCTTCGTTGAAGAGTTGTCCCACACTCTTATTTCAATATTTCTGCAGTGTATTGTGAGTTTGCGAGTTGTGACCAATATGATTATGATTGATTAAACGGTTGCAATATAAGTATTCATTAGAGTTATTTATATACACTAAATATATTTCATATTATCTGGAGTGATATTAATACTCCATTCGTTCTTTCTTCCTATCTAAAGTGAATAAGTGACAACAAAGATAATTTTCTCTTTTCTACTCTTTCTTTACTCCCTATATGGTCAAATATCAATGTATCTAAACAATTGGAACTTGTACTTGAAGCAAATAATAGTCTCTGGTCTAGTTTGATACCTGTACATTCAACATAAATCAACTACGCTCGGAGTTGTTCGATAAAAACCGCTTTGATGATAAAAACCGTTCTGATGATAAAGGTTACAAAATGAAAAAGGATTTCATTGATAAAAGATAGTCAAACGACACTTACAAACAATTCCTAAGAAATTTAAAATTCCAATACAAGTACATATCACCTTAGAACTAATTACATCGTAAATTCGATCAAGGACCGCCTTAATAAAATCTTCATTCCGATACAATACAATATGTGAGTTAGCACTAATTCGGCTTGAAATCCACTGATACATAGTTGTTTAAGTGAAAATACTATACGGTCCTCTAGATACTTTCGAAGATTATGGAACCCTAAATTGATCTTCAATTCTCGCTAGACGAACAAACAAATAAAATAAACCTAATAGAATAGCCACCATATATCTTATAGATGGGATCTATTTATTGAAAGAAATTAAAAAGTTTTTGCGGTTTACCACCGGTAAGAAAAACAATGGAAGCCCCTATAAAGATTCACAATTGAGACTAGGAAGAAAAGAGAAAAAAGAAGGAGTGAAGGAAAACCTTTTAACAAAATAGAAAAAATCTAGCAATGAAGGCGAGAAAAACCCTCCCGAAGGTGAAACCCTAGAAGGAACCAGCAAAACCCTCCTAAGGAGAAACCCTAAAAGGAACTTTATGATCTCCTAATGATAGAGTTAATTTAGTCCGATATGAGTATCAAAGGTAATTTGAGTTGTTTATGAATAGATAAAATTGTACCTTGAAAGTGATATATGTGGGGGTATTTATGGAGTACTTGGCAGTAGGTGCCACGTGGGTCTTGTCAAGTGGCAACACCCTATCTACGTAGCTAAAGGCAATAATCCACATGGATGATGATTATGGGCCGATAAGGTTATAGGTTGTTATTGGGCATAACCCTAATCATGAATTCGATCATCCCAATACCTAAGTCACACTGGTGGTCGATATAACATCCCGAACAACAACTATCTCTATTATACCAAAACCTAACATTATTTTTTGATTGAGAGAAATGGAGGGAAAGGAAGAGAAGAGAAAAGGAGGGAAGCATCATCCTTTGTCTGTATATTTAATGTAAGGGGGGAAGGTGAGAGAATTGGAAAGATTCATTTTCCTTCCCCTTTTAATAAACAAATTCTCTCCATTGTTGGAGAGATTTGGAAGGAAAAAGGAAGGTCACCTTTCCCCTCCCCTTACCTCACCTCCCTTTCCCTTTCCTCTTTTTCCTTCCCCTTCCTTTCCCTTCACTATTGTTATCCAAACATAGTGTAAAGGAACTCACTTTGCTTAAGAGTGAGAATTTCCTTACCTTTTCCCTACTCCCAAGTGTTGACTTTCATAGATGATTCGATTGAGCTCTTAAGAGGCGCCTTTTTTTTTTTTTTTTTTTTGTAAAGTGATACAAGTATAAGTTTAGAATCAAGAATGGAACTAGGATGGTGAAGGGTTAGAACTTGACTCATTCTTAATACCACATGTTGATTTTGTTTGAGAATGAATATTTTTCTTCATTTGATACTAAAGTCTACGATATGAGCCATACCCAATTTTTTGAATTTCTAAACCCCATACCTTGTAAGTTTGAAGCATAAATTTAGAAATTAAAATATTCATAAACACGAGGAATTAGTTTTACCCAGTTCAAAGTAATACCAATTCCAAAGTCATGAGAACCAAACACCTTTGATTAGTTAGGTATCATCGTGTCAATTTACTAGGGTTCTTCTTTTAGTTCTTCTTCATAAAATAACAAAAAATTCAATTTCTGTCAAAAAAAGGGAGAATCCCTTGAAGTCCACAATTTCTATGTAAACAGTCTAAACACAATAAGTCCATATATAATGTCCCAAATAGTTAACCAACCCGGCCCAATTACACCAACTGGCCCAATAATAACAAAATTCATTAAAACTACATAAAAAAGAAAGAAAAAAACGTTGAAAATTCAATTCTTAACTGTATTTGCTTGTGTTGTTGTTAGCTTTAGCTCCACTGAAAGAAAGAAGAGAGAGAAAAAATGGCGTCGCCGGCAGTAATCCGGTGTTACGCACTCACATTTACACTCTCACTGTTTCTGCTCATCACACCGTCCATTTCCATCTACTGTGATGATGATGATTGCTATGATCTTCTTGGGTAATCTCTCCTTTTCTATTACTTTTTTTGTTTTTATTTTGTTTTGTAGTGCGAATTAATTTCTTGATTTTTGATATAAATTTTTCTAGGGTTTCTCAAAATGCGAACGCTTCGGAAATCAAGAAAGCTTACTACAAGCTCTCTTTGAAATAGTAAGTAATTAAATGAATTAATTGCTTATATTTAATTTGGTTTGATTCAAATTTTGATTAATTTTGGGTTTTTTTTGGAATTTATTTTTAGCCATCCTGATAAGAATCCGGACCCAGAATCTAGAAAATTGTTTGTAAAGGTTGCAAATGCATACGAGGTATGATTGATGATTTTTTTTTTTTTTGTAAGAAAACTTTACTTGATTTATTACTATGCTGGGAATTTGGTTATTGAAATGCCTTTTTCGTTTTTGATGTACAATTCGAATATTCGATGTGGATATTAGCTAGTTTAGCGGGTAAAGTTTTGGGGTACTTAAGACACGGAATTGAATCCCGTCTATGTCATTGTCCTTTGTGGCTCTCGAGCACAAGAAATGCATATGTAATTGTTCATTGGGTTTTGTAAAGTGTAGTATCTTGCTTGCTTTGACTTGAATTATGAAGTTTAGTGTTCAATTAGGTAGGAAATTTTTGCTAATAATAAGTGTTGATAGGTTTTTAGGAGAGTGCGGTATTTTTTCTTTAGGCAACGAAATTTAGCATTTGGTAGAGCTTAATGCTTGCCATTGTATGGGGATCAGTAAGTGAGAAATGAACTGAAGAAGTGTGGGTGCATGTGGTTAAACACTGGCTTTTGGATTAAATGGAATCTTTTTTATTTGAAGATAGAGAATAGTTCTTGTTGTTCACATCAGTCGTCATGTATGAAAGGTATGTGAAATTATTGAATATGCTAATGCTGTTGTTGGTTGGGGCGATGCGGAGGGAGGGGAGGGATAAAGGGAAGACTAGTTTCGGTAATCTTTGATAGCTCTAATACAATAGTCCTTGCGGATATCAGTTAGCTTTGTTAGCAACATTTTGGGGGTGCTACCTGCTAACAACGGAATGGGATCGAATCCCATTTATACCATTTTCCTTTGAGGCTCCCTATACACCCTCTTCGCCAAAAAAAAGGAGGTCAGATGCACTTGTTCATTGGTTGTGCAAAGTATAGTGACTATCTTTCTCTGACTAGATTTTGAGGTTTTAGTGCTCAATCAAATAGGAAGGTTTTGCCTATAATTTGTTCCTATAGTAGAGCTTAGTTTTGTGGGTTATTGTTTCTTTGGACAATGAAGATGGTACTTGGCAGTGCTTGGTTCTTTGCCACTGTATGAGAGAGTCAGTGAATGAGAGAATAAGTGTGGGCACTCTGGCATCCTGGCAAATGAAATGCTGGATATGACAATGCATAGGCTTTTGGATTAAATGGAATCAGGAATCTTGATTATCTGAAGGGATAGAGATTGATGCTGTGTTTCACTACCATATTAATGACACGGGTTTAAAGCTTTTGCTTCTTAGTGGAAAGTGAAAGGGCTTTTAAAAATCCCCTGAAACTAAGAATGACACTGTTAATATGGATGTACTCCTGGTGTTGTTTGACAGGGTGTTTGAGGGAGAGTGACTTTGTAAAATTATGTAGCATGTAAATGATACTTTTTCATGTTTGTGCATCCAAAAGATTTCAACACTTGATTTATTTGTATGAATGTAAGAGTGAATATAATGGCGATTGGTCTCTAATATATTATACATGTTTTTGGTAATGAGAATTCTAAAATATTTACTGTCTAATGTGGAAAGTTGATAGCCATTGAATTGCCAAGGTGAAAATATCACTCTTTCTTGAACAAATGAAATCTATTCAAATCTAGAACAAAAACATTGAGACTATGTCAGTAGGGCATATAGTTTTAAACATGAAGCAATTTGTATGATAATCAAGAAATGTGTCATTGTCATTATATATGTATGATAATGAAGAAACATGAAGCAATTTGTATGATAATGAAGAAATTGTGACTGAGAAATCCATATCAGTAGACAGTAGGCAAGAAACATGGGTGAGTATTCATACTACTGTGAGAGCATGTTAACGAATTGGAAATTATTTTGGAATCACTGTCCCTTCTTATTTAAAAAATTTGGGAAGGAGAGCCTGAGTAAGGTCCAAGAGCAAAGATGCATTTTTAAGTATTTATGTAACTTGTTAAGTACCAGTATTGTTCACTGACTTATGTACTTCGGATGCATGCTTGCGTTATTGTCTGCAGATTTTGAAAGATGATGAAACACGTTCACAGTATGATTATGCTATAGAGCATCCAGAGGAGGTAATTTGTATTCCACTCTTTTTCCAATTACAAAGAGAAGTTAGAGGCTTGAATTTGTGCTGATGATGATTTAGTTGTGTCATTAAGTCATGGTAAAAGCTACTGCATGTGCTGAATATTAAGTTATATTATACACTTGTGAACGGTTGTGTTCTCTCTTGTCTGATTGTTTCATTGCTACGTGTTATAGCAAAATTATCTGTTCATAATTAATTGGTTAAAGGTGGCTGTCTCCATTTCTGCTCACTGCTAAACTTTAAAGATATTGCATTGCAATGCTGTGCTATGCTATGCACTGTCTGGATGCTGATGGGTGTTGGGGATTGCTGTACTCAATTGCAGCATCTTTGTTCTGAAAATCTTTATTCTAAATTAATATGTTTTCAAAGTAAATTAATTATTGTTTCTAACCTCATATCCTTGTATCCTTGATGTTCCAGTTTTTCTATAATACTGCAAGATACTACCAAGCTTACTATGGTCACAAGACGGTAAGAACTACTTTTAAGTCATCAAGTTTTTCTAGATTTGGATTGGTATGTTATATCTAGCATCTGATGATGTGTTACTCTGTAATGATAGGATCCTCGTGCTGTTCTAGTTGGTCTTCTTCTTATTCTCTCTGGATTGCAATATGTAAATCAGTGGACAAGGTACAATCAGGTATTATTGTGTACGCTATACTAAAACCATGTGCTGTCATTTCATCTTATTTTTTGCAGTAGCATATTAGAAGGGTGCAATTGGTATTAGCTTTTATCTTTTTGAGTCTTTGACAATGTGACAGATACGGAAGAAGAAATAAAGTAATATCACATAGGTTTTGTAGTATCTAGGGTTCTTTACGACATGTAATCAATGAACTTTAATCAAGGTACTTTGAAATTGCTGATAGTTTAAAACAGGTTATGGTTTTTTTATGCTGCAGTGCTATGCAAGAATTTTATCGTCCATTTCAATTTTATATTTTAATATCTTATACGTTGCCTAATATATGATTAGTTCAATCCTTTACAGTTGTACTCCAATTCTACACAACTTTCGTATTGCGATCTTCCTTAATGACTGATTCTTAAGCTGTTAAACATCATTGTGATACTTTTGAAGTCGGATAGAAGCATCACTTGTATATTTTCCATCTTTGCTTGTGGATTAGTTGGTTTTGGTACTATAGTGAGCAATAAGTTGATCTTTGAATTTTCTTTGAGTGTTTAATGTTATAATGATGTTCGTTGTTGCTGTATTTCTGAATTTCTCCTATGAACCTTCTTTAGGTGATGTTACCAAGTCTCTAGCTTGTTTCTTTTCATGTCATTATGTATTCTCATATTTCAATGGGCCGTGTGCCTACGAGTATATATTTTGTGTATGTTAAAAAGACTTAATTTTTGACCTTTTCTTGATGCTTACATAGATTTCCAATTCCTGCAGGCTGTAGAGATGGTTAAGAAGACACCTGCTTACAAAAATAAGCTACGGGCATTGGAACTTGAACGCTCAGGAGGAGTATCTAATAAGAAGAAGAATATCAAAATGAACAAGTTTGTACATGACCTCATTTCATATTATGTCTTTGGCTTATTGATCTGATCCTGAACTAATTCCTATCATATGAATGGGTTTAATCGCAGGACAGTACAAGAGGATTTGAGTAAGGAGCTTGATTTACAAATTACAGGAGCTGAAAAGCCGTCTGTATGGGGCCTAATTGGTGTTCGAATTGTCCTTTTACCATACACTCTCATCAAGGTCATACATATTCTTTGGAAAAGATTTGAGTTTTTTAGTCCGGTATAATAATCTGTCTTGATTTTAACATATTGTTTGTGAATGTCCTTGCAGCTTCTTTTGTGGCATGGGTGTTGGTTTTGGAGATACAGCTTTAAGAAAGCGCCATATTCTTGGGAAGATGCCTCATACCTTACACTTAGATCACTTGGTGCATCTGCTGATGCATGGAGGAATCTTGGTAATAGTTATTTGCTTATTGTCTATCAATTACCAAAAAACCAATTGGGTGTTTCATTGCTGATTTTGCTTGGGGTTTTGGGTTACTCTTAGGAAATTTGTTTTCTGTTCCATTGTTGGAAAAGCAAATTACCCCTGAACTTAATTTAGAGGTTGTCCTTAATATTTCCTTTTGTTGCTGCCAAACTTTTGTCTTATGTGAGGGCAGTGAATATTTTGTCCCAGGGACGAAATTGGTTCTCAGGGTTTAGATTCCCTGGGTTCTCCAGGAGGTTTTTTAATATGCAAGATGATTTTACATCTTGATTCATCGGGGCTCATCTCTTTATTGTACATGATGTAGCTCAGGTTTGATACTGATATCATCCTTGTTAGCCTATTACCTCACCGAAACTGACCTTTCCATAAAAAACAACTGCAGTCCTGTTCCATGGTCTTGGATCTTCTCATCTGAAAGTTTTGTGTTATCTCCAGTCGCTTAATTTGTCTCTTGAAATACTACTTCTTTTAGCTCAATGGCATCGCTCTGGTTTGCCTGTTTGAAACTCTCTGCATCTTGCATTTTTGTTCTGCATGTATCATATACTTGAGTTCTGATAGAGGTTTTGTATTGCTGGTTCATAGATGAAGCGACCAAGGATGATCTTGTTAAGAGAAAACTGTGGGTGAAATCCAACTTGGACAGCTACGTGTCGGAGATGCGGAGAGAATCAAAGCGTCGAAGATAGTTGATATTCTTTTGCTGACAATTTTGTTCCAAAATATGCCGAGATGACATTCTTTTTCATTTAGTGATGCAAACCATTCTCAGTGGAAGGGGCAGGAAATGGCAGTCAAATTAATGGGATCTTTTGCGTAAAAGACTCGCTCCATCTAAGAACATGGAATGGCACCTAGAACATACTCACACCGGCAATGTGAACATAGGATAGTTCTACATTTAGGTCTTCAATTTTGATTCTAGTAATTTGAGTACAAGATGCTGCATTTTTACGAAAGACATTGTGATGAATATACTCACACTGGCATATACAATATACCAAACAAGTATTCTGTTTTAGTCTACAGTTTACAGGTTGTGACTCTATTAGCTGAAGAGTTTCATCTTAAGCAAACAAGTATTCTGCATTTCATAATTTTGCTTATTTTCACAAATCAATAATCAGGGCCGTTTGGTTGGAGGTATTCAACAATGGGAATGGTAATCAACTACCATAAATCCCTTTGTTGATGCTTGATGGACAAATTCAATCATTCCCTTTACCTCTCCCATTATCCCATTTTCCTCTATCTTCACCCACCCCAAGGGAATCACTTTAATCCCCAAACTCCTCTTCACCAAACTACCTTGACCAACTCTCTAACTACCTTGACCACCCTTGAAAACGCCAACCGACCACTGACACCACTGCCCAGCCACCGACACCACCAGAACCACCGCCTAGCCGCCATAAAATCGCCGTCGCACTGATGCCACCACCGAAACCACCCAAAACCACCATTCTCCACCGAAACCACCCAAATCCACCCGGATCTTCTCCACCAACTCCACTTGAAATAACCCTCACCCACCACGTTCACCACCTATTACCCACGAAAACCACCCAAAAAACCCTAACTATCTCAATAAAAAAAAACTCAAAAAAACCCCATAAACAACCAAAAAACAACACATACCACTCTATTAACAAACAACCTACTAGATCTACCAAAAAATCACTTAAAAAAGAGAGAGAAGAGGGAATTCATCGGCATTTAGCAATGGAGTCGGTGCGGCGATAAACGATGGATGGGCAGTAGTGTTGCTGGAAAAGGGGAGTTTGTCGCTGGTAGGGAGGGGTGAGGGAGCTCGGCGTCGCTGGGGAGGGGGGTTGGAGTTGGTTGTTGGCTGTGTGGTTGGTACTTCAAAATTGATTCCATTCTTTTTAAAGTAAAACAAACAACCTATGATAAATTAGGGAATTGCTTTCCATTCTCCCTCTTTCCTTTTCTTTTAGTCATTCTCTTTTCCATTTGCGAACCAAACGGCCCCTTAAGACTTTTGCAAAAGATTCTCAGGTGCCCCATGTTAATTAATTCCACTTTGGGCAATCAAAGTTGATATTCCAATTGAGCATAAAGGATAGTTTTGACGACATAGTAAAATTTATAATTTTTTGTAATGATAAATACTTAAATAGACCGTCAACAAGATACATTATTCATTTGCTTTTAGTTAAAATATTTGTTTGTATTATTTTTAAAGACGTTAATCACCCCATGCATGCTGCCAATCCCCAAGAAAATTAATAGAGTTTGTTGATCTAGCAAAATAATTTGCTTAAAAAATATGAAGTATCAGTTTAATTTTTTCGTGCTCATAATAATTAAAGAGCAATTTATTTAATAATTAAAAAATTATGCATGCCACATTGCGATGTTGCCATTGTACTAGAAATTTAATAGAGGCTGGTATCCCGGAGAAATTCTTTGCCTCTAATAACTTAAATCTTTGATGACTCTAATAATTTTCGTCGGTATAAAATTGTGCTTATTAGATAGTATTACCATGATATGAAGTATCAATTACTTCTTTATTAATATCAGCAAATGCAAATTGTTTTTGTTGGTGCCAATAAAATTCTTTGTTGGTACTAAGATAAACCATCAAAGTATGTAGAGTGAATTCATCACTCATGTCATTGTGTGCACATTTTTTATTTATTTTTTCTTTCTTTTTAAGGTTGAGTGTTGACATGCTTATTGTACCGAGGACTGCCTGTAGCTCACCAGCGTCTATGCGTTTAGCTGCCTCGCGGTGTCCAACTGATTGACCGAAATGTACCAAAAACAAACCAGAAAGGCTCAAAGGCGCAAAGCCTGAGAGAATACGCAAACACTAAACAGCCTCAAGTATTTCAAACTTATTGCTTCTTCCTTGCTAGTGCGATTACAGACCTTGCCACTGTACCGGAAAACGATATGATTTCATATTCATAAGCTTCGCTTCACTTCACTTCGCCGGAATTTCCACTCTCATTTCTCTCTCTTCAATTCCTCTCTTTCTCTCTCTTAGGGTTCCAGTTCCATTATCTCTCCTCTCCGCTCCACTCGGAGCTTCTTCTTCATCTTCAATGGCGTCTTCTCAGGTATTTCTCTCTCTAACGTTTTCTCTTTCTCTCTCTTAATTTCAATTTTTGAGACATTTGTGTGCTTGATTTTCTGTTTGAAGGTAGGAATTTTGATTCCGTTGAATAAGAGCTTGGAGAAGGAGAAATCGTTGCCGGAATTGCCGGTTTCTGAAGGTGATAATGTGATCGGGCGTAGTAATGTTCCGGTGACTGATAAAAGACTTAGTCGCAAGCACCTCATTTTGTCTGCTTCTTTTGATGGCTCTGCTAATTTGGTTGTGGTATAATTTTTAAACTTCCTCCTAAATTGTTCAGGTTTTTGTTTGTTTTATTATGCATTTTGCGTGAATTTCTATTGTGATTAGAGGTTTTGCTGTGTTCATTTTGTGCATCTTGCGAGAATTTCTCTTGTGATATGCAATTGGAGTTGCATTTAGATAGAACTTGTGTGACTTCGTTGAATTGTTAGAATTAATTGTTGCTTATTTTGGAGTTGAATTTTTTTCTGTTGGCAATTTATGTGTGTTTGCAATATGTACACATTGTTAAATGGAAGCTAACAGTCGATACATTTGGTGTACAAACACGAAAAGTGCAGTCTTTTAACACAAAGAGAACCGACATGTGCAGAGTGGACTCTCACACTGAGAAAGCTAAGAATTGTTTTGAGAAGTGTATATGCAATATAAAATTTAGGAAAGAAAGTAAACATGAAAGATTAGACAGTTGCGTGATACCTTGAAACTTGGTGAGAGTGCAATTCATGTTCTCAATTGTCTCTTATATGAAATGGTAGTGATGATAACAGTAATGTTCGGCAAAAGCTGCCTACAATTTGTTAGAAGTTTTGAGGACAATGCTTTTTCCTTTAAGGCTGAAGTAATGAAGTTTTAGTGGTTTGATAAGTTCTTGAAAGTCGGCTAATCAGACTTGGTTAGTTGAGCCCAATTCAAGAGGTATTGTGAGGTGTTTGAAGGGTTAGTTCAAGTTATGTTGACTAATGTTCTTTATATGCTCTTTGTTTAATAGGGATGTACTATTGTGAGACTGTTTGTGTATTCCAAGGATTAATATCATCATTATGGCTTGTATAAATGGAAATAATTTGTCCAAGTAACAATGTATCTCATTTTTATCTTAGGTCTTTACTTATGATCTGGCAGGAAGGAATGAATCCTGTGGTGGTTAATTCTGGCGGTCAGAGGAAGGTTTTGAATTCTGGAGAAAAAGCTTCTGTTAATTGTGGTGATATCTTAGAATTGATACCAGGGAGTTATTGTTTTAAGTATGTAGCCTTAAGTAACAAGAGAAACACTGATGCTGTTAGCAAAGGGAGTAAAGGTTCTAGGGAACGGATAAATCTCGGAGATGGTAGGAAGAGAGCACGAGAAGACTTGAACTTTGGAGCTTCTACGGGACACTTGACGGTATTCTCTGCTATTTGGATCCTCATATATATTGCTCCCTTTATTGGTACTTGCTATCTATTTCTCAGTGTATATCCATGGATGTAAACTTTGTTTGCCTTTGAGCATAGTGTTGTACTTCCTCCATTTCATATTATTTGACACATGTCTTTTAGGCGCCTATGTCAATGTGTAACTTTAAATTAATACATCTTCAAAATTTATAATAAAATTATAATAAATTGATATTTGGAAAATAAGACTTTGAGACGAATCAACAAGATTCCACTGGACTATGTTTATCTTAAGAATAAATCACAAAAAGAAGTCTGAGTTACTGATGTGAATAGTTGTGAAAGTCAAAACGTATGAACTAAAATGAAACTAAGGATATATGTTTAATAGTTGGATAATTGCAAAAGATAGACAAAACTATGGTTGTAATTTACTAATCTTCAATTTTTTTTCATCATTATGCTGATTAGTGGTTGACATAAGGGACTCTTACAGTCTTACTATCTCTCTTTCTCTCTCCCTCCCTCTTATTTGTTTGATTTTAATAGAAATTCTTATAAATAAGATTGACAGATGTATACCTGCAAATTGCAAGCGGTGTAGAACTTGTTAGTTTTTTCTTACCTGCTTTTTTACTTTGTGTATTTGTACAGCTTCAGCACGGGATCGGAAGAAACGTAAAAGAAAATATTGATAATGTAAGTGTTGAATCTAAAAGGCAGAATCATATAGTGTCCAGGAATACTGAGGAGGCGCTACGTGATTTTCATGTGTCTAATGATAGTCTGCCTTCAACATTTCGCCTTATGAAAGTGCAAGGGCTACCAGAATGGGCGAACACCTCTTGTGTTTCTATTGACAATGTGATTGAGGTAATTTATGACTGTGAGGTTTATACTCTCCTGGATCTTTTTGCTTGTTATTCATCATTTAGGAAGCTGCACAGATAATGGGTTGCATGAAAGGCATATTTGTGTATTTGACATGACATTGCTAGAATACACTTGATCAAGGTTGTTATTAGGTGTGAATATATTTATATTGCCCTATGTTTGAGGAATACGTTAGAGATCTCAGGATAAAGTCCTCAACTGTTCTCTGTGTTTTGATCAATAAAATTATCTATTATGATGTTTTTGACCACCTGGATTGAATTTATAGTTTAATTCAACAGTATTTAATCTAGCGTGTCTTTTTTTAACCATCTATTTATTGTTACCATATGAAAATATATTTAGGTACATCTGTATTTGCTGTCTATTTTGATGCTACATCTATCTTAGCATTCAAATTGAACTGGAACATATGTTAATCAGAATATATCCTAAAGCTGAAAACATGCTTCATGAAGTGATCTGGCTGATTGATTACTGGTCTTTCCTATAGGGAGATGTGATTGTTGCTGTACTTTCAAATTACATGGTGGACATAGACTGGCTGTTATCGGGTAATTATCTTGTGAAATCACATCTTGTACCGTGCATTTTGTCATATCATGTATTACGAAGGTTAAGACATAGACAGGTTGCGTGTTTGTTATGTATCTCTTATAGTAGAGTTGGGTCACATAGAGCATATGATATTATATTATGATGTGGTGTGGGACTTTATTTTTGAATATGCATGGTTGTCTCTTTGCTGCTATGCTGTATTTTTGTTAGAATATTAATGGGTTGTCGCCATTTCGATCTATATACTGTTATATGTAATCCTATGCAAATTGAATTTTTTTTGGGATTTGAGGAGGCTCAGAATTTAAATTGTTCAGCATTCTTCCAGTAATTCTAGTTGTGTTATAGTGTGCAGTTGCTGTTTTATATACTACCTCCGTTTCATATTATTTGCAACTTAGGAATTTTTTTATATCTCACAAATACTGCACCAAAGTTGCAAATAATAGAAACGGAGGTAGTACATAATTTTGAGGGTGCTTGTGGGCTTGAAAATACATAAAAGGTTGTTTGATACGTTGGTTACATAAAGGCAGATTTGTAATGGAGTTTCAACTTTCCTTCTTTCGAAAAGCTATTCCTTATCATTTGTCTTACAAAGACAGTGCAAAGTCCAGCATAGGCCGTTATATTACCACACTAGCTATTTTATCTTGTTATTAAAGCCAATATCTATGTGATTGACACTATTAAAAGGCACACTTTCGAGCTTACAGTCGTTATTACTATAAATGTTGACTACCACTCAATTTTTAGCAAAATAACAAGGTGCTTGAAAGTATATGTTAAAGTATGATAGAAAACATTTAAAATATAAGAGTAATGTTCAAGTGAAGAAATTTCAACTTATCAAATAATGCTGTGGTGACCAATCTGACCATGACACAAAATATAATACCTGTGTGAATGTGTGATGCTGTCTCTGTAATTCTGTGAGCATTATTGCTGTCATGATTGTAGCAGTAGGTTTTTCTAATTTTATGTGCTTGTAGAATCCAGTTATCTGTTTTTTCCCTGTTTCAACTTTCAAGTGCTTTTCTTCTTAATTGCTGCTTTGGATTTAGAATAGAGCTTGTGTAATTCGTTCTTAGGTGCTCCTTTTTAATCGTTGGATAATTTTTATTGCACTCCTTATTTAGCTCAATTGTTCACTTCTTGACAATATTCTGTCTCTACCTCTGGTTTCCTCTGTAGCATGCCCAATGCTTAGAAAAGTTCCTCAGGTGCTGATTGTACATGGAGAAGGTGACGGTACCGTTGAATACATGAAGGTGTGTTATATGGATTAATATTGAGACTCAGCTATCTTAGATGTGCTCACGTTCTAACTCTGAATTTCTGATTGATATACTTATTGAGCATCAGATATTTTTATTTTTATTCTGTAGAGGAACAAGCCTAGCGATTGGATTTTGCATAAACCAACATTACCTATCTCATATGGGACGCACCATTCAAAGGCTATGCTGCTTGTATATCCTCAGGGTCTGAGGGTCATTGTGCATTCGGCAAACTTGATTCATGTTGATTGGAACAATAAAAGTCAAGGCTTGTGGATGCAAGACTTCCCATGGAAAGACCAGAATGCGACAAGCAAGGGGTGTCCTTTTGAAAGTGATCTTATTGATTATTTACAGGCTCTAAAGGTATTAATACTTGCTATATTTTGTGTACTATGTGTTTTGCTTATATAATTCATTTAATTCTTTATTTATTGTTTTACTTCATGTTTCTGTTTTATTTATTTATTTTTTTTTTTTTTTTTTTTTTATAATTGTTAGAGTTTTGACACTATATTCACATGCTTTGAGCCTTTGACCATAGTTTTTCCAATAATATATAGAACAATTAATTAGAATATTATTGTACCTACCACAATGTATATTCTTGAATTATTAAATTTTTAATTATTTTACTTTTGTATCATTATATGTATTAATGATCAAATGTGCATTGGGAAATTTGAAGATCAATATGGAATTAAAAATAAACATAACTAAGGGAGTATTTTATTTTTCTTAAAAAAAATTTCCTTATCTATGTTGGAGTGAAAAGTTTTTACTTGCTCTTTTTTTATATTTAGATCGTGGACCAATGCTACTCCCATTTTATGTTTTTCTATTATTGTTTTTACGCTAGTGCTGTAGACTCTTTATCATAGGAAAGTTTGAAAAAGTGGTTGTAACATGTTCCTTTTGGTAATAAAATAAGAGAAATGTAGTAAAATAGTGGGTGGGAAGAGAGAGAGAGAGAGAGAGAGAGAGAGAGAGAGAGAGAGAGAGAGAGAGAGAGAGAGAGAGAGAGAGAGAGGGAGGCTTAGTTTACGTAGTTTTTTTTAACTACTATATCTTATGAAAATAATTTGTTTTAATCATCTTACTGAAATTAGGAATTTGGAAAGAGTGACAATTGCAATTTTATACTTATGTCCTTTGGTCTGTATAAAGTATAGGACTAGAGGTTTAAGGAGTTTATGGGCTTTCAACTGATTAGTTTTCTAATTTACTCTCTGACAAGATTATGTCTTAGGTGTTGGCACTTTGGCATATCAACTTGGTATGGTGTTATCTAAACATTTCCTAAGAAGCATAGTTCATTTGTCGCTGGTCATTATATTTTGGATGTCGCCATTGTTATGAGATGGTGGAAGGAAATGAAGTTTACATATTCAAACGAAGTGGAATAAGAAAATGAGTAGAGTACTTACATGTGGTTATGGATTCTATTATGATACTAGAAAAAAGAAGGTGTGATTAGCCAAAAGGAGGAACAACATAGAAGTTAGTTCTAGATATAGATGATATAAAGGGAGTGAAAGTAAATTAAATTATAGAGGCGAAAGGAATTAGAATGTTTCAATGGTAATTCCTTGGTAACGAGTTCGCTAATGGAAAGCCATACCATATATTCATACCATACTTTTAACTACTTTGTTTTTGCTAATTAAGGAAAATTTGTCAAAAAATCTATGCAAGTAGACATTTTATGAAAATTGTCTCTTAAAAAAAAAAAAAATAGAATTATGAATGAAAAGTTTGTTGTGAGAAGGGACTTTTTGCCGTATCCTGGCCGTACCCGTTTCGTAGAATTTTCATTTTGCCGTTTTCCGTCCCCGTATTTGTTCTCATATATGTTTCTGTGCAACCTAAGAGATTGCTATAAGATGTTGGGAATATGCAGAAGTGATGAAAATTATGAGAAGTATAAAGAAGCTAGAAAAGAAGCGAAGAAAGTTGTACGGAATGTGAGAACAAAAGTGAACCGAGACATTTATGCAAGCTTGGATACAAAGGAAGGAGTAAAAGGAATCTATAGGCTTGCTCGTATTAGAGATTGAAAGACGTGGGATATTGGAAAGGTCAAATCCTGTTGGAGACAAGGAGATAAAGGATAGATAGAGGTCTTACTTTGATAGTCTATTCAATGGAGATCGAACTTAAGATAAGTTTGTGACTGCATAATGAGATGGAGAGAGTATGTTTCATTATGTTGATTAAGACACCTAGAAAAAGAAAATTAAGCACCCCGAAAAGATGCCTTTGTCCTTCTCAAATAGTTCGAGGATTCAAAAAGGAGAAGTCAATACGACATGAAAAAAGATGGAATTGAAGAAAACGGTTGGACCTGATGGCATTCCTGTGGAGGTTTGGAGTTGTTTGGGAGAAAGATGAATTGAATGGTTGACAATTTTTTTCAACAAGATTTGGGGATGTAATAAGATGCCTTTTGAGCGGAGGAGAAGTACTTTGATACCTTGTTACGAACAAAGGTGATGTCCAATATTGTGCTAACTATCGAGGGATCAAACTAATGAGTTATATTATGAAACTTTGGAAGCTTAAGGAGAAGTGTGAAGATCTCGTAAAACCAATTTGGATTTATGCCTAAAAAATCGATTGTGGAGGCAATCTATCTTGTGAGACAACTAATGGAGATCTATCGGGATAGGAAGAAGGATTTCAATATGGTTTTTATTAATTTAGAGAAGGCTTATGATAAGGTACAAAAGGAGATTCTTTGGTGGGCTTTAACAAGGAAAGGCGTTTCGTGGAAATATATTGACATCATTATGTAAATGTATGAGGGAGCTAGCACAAGTGTACGGACCACTCTTGGGAAGACCGAAGAGTTCCAATTACAATTGAAGTTCATCAAGGTTCTGCACTTAGTCCTTTCTTTTTGCTATAGTCATAGATGAATTGACGAGTTTAATTTAAGATGATATACCATTGCATGATGTTTGCTGATGATATTGTGTTGATTGATGAGACGAAAGGAGGTGTGGAAAGTACGTAGGAATTGTGGAGACGGACTTTGGAGTCTTGTTGCTGGAAGGTGAGCAGAAGTAAGACGGAGCATTTGGAATGTAAGTTTAGCAGTGTGGGAAACAATGAGCCTAGGGTGATCACCTTGGATGGGAAGAGTGTTCAAAGTTGTGGGGTCTCCCGATATATGGGATTTATTATTCAAAAGGATGGAAAATTTGATGGAGATGTAGCTCATAGGATCAAAGCGGGTTAGTTGAAGTGGAAGAGTGTGACGGGTTTTTAATGTGACTTAGGCGTACCCCATAGATTAAAGGGGAAATTCTACCGAACGGCAATAAGGCCTACTTTGTTATATGGTACAAAATGTTGGCCGTAAAGCATTGCTACGTGCATAAGATGAATGTGGCAAGATGCGTATATTGCGATGGATGTGTGGTCATACAAGAAAGGATCGGTTGAGGAATGAGATAATAAGGAAGAAAGTAGGGGTTACATTGATTGAGTACAAGATGAGGGAGAATCACTTAAGATGGTTTGGTCATGTAAGAAGGAGACCAAGTGACGCTTTGGTAAGGAGATTTAAAAAATTGCAAAGTGTTGGAATTGCGAGAGGTAGGGTAAGACCTTAGAAAACTTGGAAGAGGGTGATTGAGAGTGACACGAGTGCTTTTGAATAAAACAACCCTATAGACTTTACTTTCCTTATAACTATGAAGATATCTCGTGACTTGCTGTGAGGTAAAAATTAATGTTGTTCGTTATGATGTTGATATGCATTCAAGTTTGATATTAGTTTTATATTTTTTGTTGTTAAAGATTACAATTTGTATGTGTAAAAGTTATAGCAAATGGATGTACAACATCCTTATTCCATTCTATATCTTCTTCCACTTTTCTTTACCAATGATTGTTGATATATCTTCTGGCTGCTGTTTATTCTAAACCATTGATTGTATTTTTACAGTTGCCAGAATTTACTGCCAGTTTGCCAGCCCTTGGTAGAGTGAAAATAAATGCTTCCTTCTTTAAGAAGTTCAATTATGAAAATGCAGCGGTATAGTTGTTTCCCTTTAAATGGTTAATGACTTCTAGTTTCTGGTGGTATTATTGCTTTTGAAAGTTAATTCATATCTGGTACTGCTAAAAGAATATGTGATTTATTTACTCCCTTGTTTTTTTTTTCCTACCTACTTTTTGTTTTGAGTTGTTTTTTTTGTTTGTTTTACCAATTCCACTTTATTCTATATATGGGAAACACCTTTTACCATCTCAACCTTCGTATACTTTTACACTCATTCTTTCTTGTTTTATCTACCCCTTTTTTTTTTTTTTTTCCCCCCGCACACCTACCTTTTTACTCTTTCTCTCTTATTTGATACTCCTTATTTTTACATCCACCAACTCACCTAGAAACAAGAGTCTATCCTACAAGAGTAGAACCAAAAAAAAAAAAAAAAAATTCAGAGGGAGTTCAATGGTTCCTTGATGTATGCTCAATTATCCCTTGATGTATATTATACAATAATTCACTTAATGTGTCTACAATGATTCCTAAATATATTTTATCACCCAATGTTCGTAAATCCTCTCCCTTACGTACATGATGTATATTATACAATAATTCACTTAATGTGTCTACAATGATTCCTAAATATATTTTATCACCCAATGTTCGTAAATCCTCTCCCTTACATACATTTCATTTATACAACTTCTGTAAACTGTGTTCCTTTGAGTTGATTACAATTTCTATTCCTTACGTACATTTCATTTATACAACTTCTGTAAACTGTGTTCCTTTGAGTTGATTACAATTTCTATTTGCACAAAGGTTAATGAGAGAGAGAGAGAGAGAGTGGGGTTTATGTAATAAAAAACGAAAGAAGAGAATATTATATGTGGGGTTATGTAAGAAAAAGTAGGAGATATATTGTTACCAACTTTAAGGAATGGAACAAAACAGAAACTGTAACCAACTTGAATTGTAAGTTCAAATTGTTACAATATTTTGTATTTGTTCTTCCAGGTCAGATTAATTGCATCAGTTCCAGGATATCATTCCGGATCCAGTCTAAAGAAGTGGGGTCATATGAAACTACGCTCTATCCTAGAGCAATGCACTTTTGATGACGAATTTAAGAAATCACCTTTAATTTATCAGGTAATGCCTGATCATATTACTAGTCAACTAATTTCTTTGAAGCTTTGATTCATGCTGGTGCATCCAATTCCTAAATTATTTTTTATTTGATATTGGGTAAGTTATGAATCAATCATTAAAGATTTGATTACGGAAAGAGGACAAGGTGTCCTCTAAGAGAAATAACTCTCATAGACCATCAGTAACCATTCTTGTTTGCAGGTTCAATAATATTTGAGAAAATTGTGGTGCGGGGGGGGGGGGGGCTTGAATAAATTTTGGAGGCCAGGCGAGTAAAGTGTAGAAGTGTGGTCATCTGGTATGAAGTACATCCAGTGCATCGGTCTTTTTCTTTTTGGTTCCTAATAAGTTCAATAACATATAGAGCGAGAAAGAGCAGATAGCTGTTAATTTTTTAATAATAGGCGATGTTCAAGATTAGAAGATTTATTGATATGCAATGCTTTATATAAGAAGATCTATTCTCCTTTCCTCGCTCCTTTTCTTCTGTCTTTTCCTCCCCTCTGTTTTCGCTCCTTTCTAATCTGATATGGCTATGGACTGATGGGGCCCTATTCCAAATTCTTCAAAAGTTTTCAGAGATAATTTTGATCAGATTAACCTTAGGTTATGCCTAATACCTACAGGCTACATAAACAAATTATAAGTGTATTATACTTTGGTATTCTGATGTAGTCATGAACTCATGATAGAAGCTATTGGGAAAGGTGATAAATAGGTGTTTTAGGATTGATGCCTTGCCTGAAACTCCTGTCATTTTCCTATGTGACTATGATGACTGACCCCAACTGCAGACTTTTATTACTCCTAGGTTGTGGCCTTCACTGGAGGCATCACTCCGTGCTTAAAAATAGTTGGGTTTTTTTTTTTTTTTTTTTTTTTTTTTTTTTTTTTTAAATGGGACACTGATGTAATTGGAATTTAGACAGGAGAGGGCTCCCTATCTGCTAGAATTATTAATTTTGGGGTGGGAGAAAGTGAACTTGGTGAGGGAGAAGAGTTGAGGGGGGGGGGGGGGGGAGGAGGGGGGCTATTGCCAGTAAAAAACTAAGGAGATAGATGGGCCATTAGTTTGTTACCTACATGAAGTTACTGGGTGCTGTTTTGCATTTTTATAATTTCTCCTTATATATCAATGGCTGCTTCACAGGCATCTTTCGTTCTCATCAGAGTTTGTTTTGGTTCAGTTTTCCTCTCTTGGTTCGCTGGATGAGAAGTGGATGACTGAGCTAAGAACTTCAATGTCATCTGGATTGTCAGCTGATGCATCCCCCCTAGGTTTGGGCGAACCACTGATCATATGGCCTACTGTGGAAGATGTCAGATGGTCACTTGAGGTAACATTTAAGGGATTCACTTTTATTTTTGGTAATTGTAGTAATAACATGTATATTTTTGTTCTCTTGCCGACTTGTTTTCGACAGCTTGACATTTACTTGGTTTTCATGGTTCCTTTTGCGCAGTTGTATTTATATTACTCTTTGCAACAGAGTAACATAAATACTATGGAGTTATATACAGTTATTCATGCTTCTTATAATTCTGTAAATTGATCTGTAAACAGCAATATTCATTGCATTTTTATCATTTAAAATTTTCTCCAATCTTGAAGTTAATCATTTTCCTTGTGACTGTTGTCTGGTGGAGCTTTTATTAAGAATTGACATGCAATTAGTAGTATTGTTTTGTACGTAGTATTTAAGATAGGGTTATCTGGAGTTTTGGACAACCTCTTAAACTTTCAGGCACATTTGGTAAAACCACCTTAATTTGTTTTGGGTCTTTCAGTGTCATATACTCGTATCTGTATTTTTTCCTGAAAGGATGTGTAGGGAATTTTTCAAACTCTCGAGCCTCACTGTGATCATGCTTTTAGGCATGGTGGCGTCCAAAGGGAAGGAAGCCAGAGATAAAAGAGTCGCCAATAAGTTTTAGAAATTTGTAAACCATTCACGGGTGTAAAGGTTACACCCCATTCACGATCACGGAGATCGCTAACTCCATAGTGGTTCGGAACAATGACTGGATATTCGGGGATGATGATACGAATCCAACCTAAAAGAGATTGAACCCGCCTTAAATAGGCCTCTACTTAATTTTTATGATATTCATGTGCGCTTTCCGATCAACATACATACATCAAATTGACCCTAAACCTGTTTAATCTAAGTTGGTTGATTATTAATGCACAATCAAATCTAGTTATGGTGATCACTTGAATTAAAATCATATTAAGCCTAAACCAATTTATTATTTATCTTATTAAGTATGATTTCAAGTACAAATTCCCTTTAAACGTGCAAGAAAGGGTGTGATCAAGCAATAGTAATAAATTATGAATAATCAAGCAATGTAATTAACACAACAATCATCATCATGATCAAATCATCAAAACATGATTAGTAAGATTCCAGGCATGATACGAAACGGATTAATAATAAACCGTAGTATGTCACTAATAAAAACCATAATCAAAGCATTAGCCTAAACATGATACTAGAAATCAACCTGATATTAGGAATATTAATTAACACCCTAAACATGATACTAGGAATCATAAAGACATTCTAACATGATACTGGGAATAAAAAGAATAATATTAGAGAGATCAAAGTACCCACTTTGATGCCTCGTACCTCTATCAAAACAATACACGCGTTAGTAATTTCAAGAAAGATCAAATCAAACAAACCAAATAAATCAAACAAGAATTGAGATATAGATTAGGGACCAAACCATCAGAACTATCAACCTTTCACGTTGAAGTCGAAGGCAACTTCGAGATTAGCTAGGAGTATTCAAAGCTCGTGAAAGAGGTATGGTGTTTGATTGGGGAAAAGCATAAAGGATGTGTTGGGATGTTTAGGCTAAGGCTGGGAACATAAAGAAAGAAGAGAGAGAAAAACTTTTAGCTTAGAGAGAGGATTAGATGATGATTGTTGGTGATCAAGCTTGTTAATGATTGAAAATGGGGTGAAACGACCTGTATTTATAAGGAAAAAGAGGTTTGAAGGATCAGAAAAGAGTTAGAAATCAAATCAAAGTAAAACATGTTTCATCGCAGCGCAACAGCTTCGCCGCAGCGCGACAGCGTTGTTGCAGCGCGATGATCGTGCAATTTTGCGGTTTTTGTTTTTATCATAACTTTTGATCTAGAAATTGGAATAAGATAATAATATGTCGTTGGAAAGCTCTGAAAGTCTACTTTCCAACCCAATTGGAATCAGGTTGATATCTTTCGTAGAATATAAGATATGATCGAAATAGTGGAACAATGTCAGTTTTGAATAAAGTTTGGTATTTCATTAATATCTATTTCGTTATAGCTCGGAATTGAGATTATGATGTATCACTGGAAAGACAATTTCAAGGGCTATCCAACCATACAAGATTTGGATAAAAATTATAAGGCACGAAAATCATATCTGAACGTCTGTGAATTCGAATAGAACAAGGATTTTCAAAAAGAGGAGTTTTATTCAATTTCAAATTCTTTGATCTTTATCTTTCGAAAAGGATGGATTAGAACCTTTTAGAGACTTCTAGAAGTTCCTAATGAATCCTAATTGGTTTAGGATTGGGATTAAGGTTAATGGACCCTCTACATGATCATTGGGTCGTAGGTAAGATGGACCTAGGTTCGATTTGGGCTCAGTTTAGTATTTTGGCATAATTTATTCGTTATAAGTCGGATTTGGGCTTATAATATATCGTTGGAAAACTGTTTTCAAGCCCCATCCAACTACATAATAATTGGACCAGGATTATGGACCAAAATAATCAGGTTTGGTCGTTTTTATAAAGATGACACGGAATGAATGATTTTCAAAGACACGAAATGAATGATTTTGGGTTTAAGGACACGAAATAAATGATTTTGGTTTGAAACATTTAAGGAAAGGTTAGAAATGGTCAAGGCTAAAGGGAACTTTATGAGACTCTTCAACTCTTCACCTCACTCGATAATCAAAGACGTGAAAGGTACTCATCACTGAGTTTGGTTTTTGGGGAAACACAGTCAGATGTCTACAATATGCTATAGGTATAGACTGGGAATTCATACAAGAATTTTCAATGACACAACAATAGAAATAGGAATATAGGATGAGAGCTTGACTGATTGATTAATATTCAGAAATAACGGATACAAGGGGAATATAGCTTGAGTTTATGACTCTCTCTTAGTAGCTTGAGGCTACAACACTCTCAAATACAATTAACTCAAAATTCACCTGCCATTCTCCTATTGTTTTATTGTTCTTTAAGTATCAAGCCTTCACCATTACAAAAGTAACCTTATACTTCGTATTAATTAGTTTTTGCAGCTAAAGATACAACCATGCGAGCTCCCTCCATAGTGCTGCATTTAAAGTTTTTTGTCTTCTTCTCATCAAGTGAACGTTTGCTGCAATTGCTGATTGCCCTTGTCTCTTTTTCTTTTTTCATAAACCCGGATAGGCTGTTGCTGGATTGGAGGCCCAATTACTCGGTCCATAACAGGCAACTTACTAGTCTAGTCTAAAAATAAATTGATTTTGTGGGTTCTGATTTGTTAAAGATTTTGTGAGATAATTTTTTATTAGAGGAGCCTGTTACATTTATTTCTGTTTATTTTAAGGTCCATATAAAATTTATTATTTTATTAATTCAGTTACACTTCATAACTAGAAGTGTTGAAAGCATTAAGTAGTGTGAGTCGTGTGACATTGGAATTGAGGAACATTATAGGTAATTTCTTGTTTCTTACCAAAAGTTTTTATGGTTTATTTGGAAAGTCTTTTAAACAATAATTGAATGAAGATTAGATATTCTCAAGAGCAATCTTCTGTAGTTCTATTTACCTGAGAAGTCTGTAGTGGAAAATGAAAGTCTGGTAAATGGAATAACTTAGCCTCTATCTCTTTGCCCACTCTTTGCAACTTATTGCATAATGGGTATTTTGTGGCCACTGGTTGTAAAATATGGGGATTGTAAACTGATATGAATCTGTGCTGTATATTTTTATGGGTGTAGATAAAATAATAAATATTCTTTATGATTTTAATATTAAATTACGAGGTGCTTACATTTTTTTTTCTTTTCATTTAGGGGTATGCAGCTGGAAATGCAATCCCGAGTCCACTTAAAAATGTGGAAAAAGAATTTTTGAAGAAATACTGGGCAAAGTGGAAGGCTACCCACACGGGTCGCTGGTACTACCATTTTATTCTGTTCACAAACGTGTGCTTCATTTGTTTTGTTCTCAGCGTCTAGTGAGTGGTAATATGCATGTGATAACACAATATCAGTAAGGTCTAACAACAACACAAGCATAAAGGCGAGACACCATTGGGTAGAAGGCTTTTGGATTTCATTTTTCACTTGCCCTCTAAAGAGCGTCTATAAGTTAGGAAATTTAAACAAAACCCTAGAAAAGCATTTAAAGCATTGAAAAGAGGTTGGATTCTAACACAAGGGCATTGTTTAAGTGTTAAACACTTATACCTATCAAAATGGTCCTCCAGCCATTTGCATTTTTTATTCTTGTTGATCTAGCTATGAGCCAGTGAGCTTTATCTGTTTGGTTTTTCAGGTTCATTTTTTTTCACCATATATCCCCGAGCTTTTAGTTTATTCACCATATACAGCTGGACTTTTTTAAATACATTATATATCCATGAATTTTTACAAAAATGCACCATATACCCTTAATGACTACAAGATGAGTGAAGTTTGGTTAATTTTGCCACAAAACCACTCCATATCTCTTCCCCTACCACTAAAACCACCCCTCCATATCTCCAAAATCATGTCCGTATGTATTATTGGTTTTGGAGGTTGGGAAAGGAGATCTTGGGTGGTTTGTGTGTAGGGGAAGGGAGGGTAGTTGGTGTCGGGGAGTGGGGGAAGGGATCTGGGTTGGTTTCGGGCATAAGTATTCTTATAAGACTGATAGAGCTAACATTTGTTAGTCACTAAAGATATGTTGTGCATTTTTGAGAAAATTTGAGGGTATATGGTTTATTTGACAAAGTCCAGGGGTATATAGTGATAAACAAAAAAACTTAGGGGTATATGATGAAAAAACCATTTATGCTCATGACTTGTTAACTCCTGTGGGTTGTAGTATCAGCGGGCTTCGCGGTTGTCCTAGACTGTGCCTTTTTCTGTTCTGTTCATCTAAAACATTAGTTTCACAGTTATCAATGTCATCACTCAACAGACCTTGATATGTCAGTATGATATTGTTGAGTTCCCATGCTACTCATGTGCCTGATGTAATCAATTAGTGCCTCTGTCAGATCCTCCAAACTTTATCCATGACAGTATAAGTATATTTCATTGGCTTGTTTGATAGATGCACATGCTATACAAATCTAGGCTATACACTTAGTGCGACCAACAGAATCCTAGAGTTTCCAAAGGTGAGAAGCGTTTGCTAATTTCGGAAGGGGAGTGGATATGAATTTTTGTTCCCTCCCTCCCTTAGTGTGTTTGTCCATTACAATCGTACACTGATATGTTTTGTTAATTGTTAACAGTGATAGTGACTTTTTTTGTTCAGCCGTGCAATGCCCCATATAAAGACATTTGTTCGTTATAATGGTCAAAATCTCGCGTAAGATCATTCAACACGTTTCTTTTTTAAGTTTAATTTCATTTTCAACGAGTACTGCAACAAGATTTTGACATGTGTTCCATACATTTCAAAACAGTTGGTTTTTATTAACTTCAGCAAATCTCAGTAAAGCTGCCTGGGGAGCCCTTCAAAAGAATAGTTCTCAATTGATGGTCCGTTCCTATGAGGTATTTATCAATTTCACTGAGTATGAATGAGATATATGGTAGACTTGGACACATGATAATGTTAAGGATACATGGTTACCTTCATTAGGTGGTTGGAATCATATCCTAAATGACATCCTTTTTTTTTATTCAATGTTGTTAAAAAAAAAAGGTTTTATTGGTTTGATATGATAATGAAACGGAGGGGAATATTAAGGTTTTAATATTATTTGAATAAGGTGAAGCATGGCTTATTTAGCCAGATTAGGAGTGGTACACTGGTTTAGACCTGAGATCTATTGTTTGACACTCTATTTATACATAATCCTTTTCTTGACATACCCATTTTACATTTTGAGGTTTTCTTTTATTTGATGTCCACTTCTACTCTATTCTATTTTGGAAAACAATTTTACTATCTTACCCCCTTATACTACAATACTTTCACCGATTTACGCCCTCTCTTACTTAATCCACCATTTTTTGTACACCTACTCACCTTTTTACATACTCTCTCCCTCTCCCTTACTTCATCCACTTTACATGATTACAACCCATTCACCTCTCCTAGAAACAAGAGTATATATTAATTGGTATGTCAAAATGGGGGAGTATGTATAAGTGCATGGTGGTATTTTAGGAGGTGGGATGAGGATAAATGTAATCTTAATTTCTCTCATGAGCAAAATACAATGATAAAGCAATGATAAATATAATATACATTATGATTGGAACCTTCTAGTTGCTTTTACAATTTTCCATTGTGCATAAATATTCACTTGCCTTGCTTTTATAAAGCTTGTAGAATCATAATCACAACTTCCTCCTTTTTGTTTATATATAAAGGTTAATTAATATCCTCTCATATTCTTTTGACTTGAGTGTACAGTGATGATGTTAGATGATTTTGTTACTTTCACTTGCGATATGTAGATTCTGTACTCATCTTGTGCTTTTTATTGGTTATTTATCTCATGCTTACTGTTTATTCCGTCTGAATGACTCAGCTTGGCGTGCTGTTTTTGCCTACTGTTGCTAAAAATGATTTTGGATTTTCTTGCTCAGATGATAGAAGCTCTCTAAAGGTATTTATATATAGATATTTTTCTTTCTGTTCTGTTCTTTAGATAAAGTTAATGCAATTTTGTTGTAGTTAGTGTTGTGTAATCTGAATTTACGATGTCAATGGCAGGATACAAGGGGACCAACAGGTGGCTGTGGAACTCGAAAGATAAAACTGGTTACTCTGACTTGGCCCGGAAGAGATAATGATGATTCTGATTCTGAAATAGTTTCTCTTCCTGTGCCATATGAAGTTCCTCCAAAGCTGTACTCCTCTCAAGGTCACATTTTTTTTTTCTTTGCCCCTTTTCTATCTCACTTTCTCCCACTTTTCCAAAAGGTTATTTCTTCATTTTCTTGCGTCATTTCTTGTCAAGTCTGATGCCCTAGTACAGGCATGTCTCTAAATTCTTCTTTGTATACAGATATACCATGGTCTTGGGACCGTGTATACCGACAGAAGGATGTATATGGTCAAGTTTGGCCTAGGCAGGTCAAGCTTTATAGCTCTCAAGATGCCTAAGTCAGCTCTTATTACTATAAATTTATAAAGTGGCATCAGTGCTCTGACATTGTGAAACTACTTCTGGAAGGTGTGCATGGCCTCTCTAATCCTTGTAATTATTCAATTTATTAGTAGTTTCGTTTCTGTGGATTCTTCAAAGTCCATGCATAGCTTCAATTTCTGCTTAAGGAGTTTTATTTTCAAGTTGATTTGTCGTCTGCATTGCTCAAATTTATAATTTATTGGTAAAATAGCCTGCCTGGTTTATTATCTGAAAGTTCAATTATAAGCTTCTGAAAACTGTGACCCATGAACAACTGCTATGAATATTGTACTTTTGTTTTTGCATGATTATAAATAGGAATTTACTCTCTTTATTTATTTCTTTGTGTTTCCTTTCTACTTGTGTACATTGAAACGACTAGAAAGTAGAAATTGCCAGAAAATTGCATGGCTTGAATGAATCTGGGTAACCTTCCTAAGTAGAGTATTTCTTGTTAAGGTTTTTATGTAGTATGATGAACTATTAAGAAAGTTATGGTATGCGAATCACTGTGTAGTATGATGAACTCTTAAGAAAGTTCTGAACATTACTAGAAATTACATGTGAATAGGATTTTTTTGATGGGTTACTTAAGTACTCGACCCAATCGGTAATGTTGGGCCAAGTCATATTTGACTGTTCTGGGTTTTATATTTGGGTTTCGAGGAGTTAAGTATAAGATTAAGATGACATAACATATTAAAATTTATCATTTTTCAACTTTTGGGATCTAACCCGTTTCCATCAAAAACCATACGAAAGGTGAGTTAAAAATCAATCCTTTCGTTAAAAACGTAGTCCCTTTCACTCCAAATTTTTTTAGAAAAAAACCCATTTATTTCTGCTTCAAATCCCATGAATATCTGCTGCAGATCCCATATTAATATCTGCTTATACAACAAAACCCCATTATCAAGAGAACCCATTTACATGGCGTTTTGCTGAGGATGTGAATTTTTATTTTTTTTATTGAGGTTTCTTTTGATGATACTACTGCAGACCCCGTCATCTTCTCCCAAATCCTCCCACTCATCAATTCATCATCATCTTCTTCAATCTCTCTTTTTCTCACTTCTTTCACTCTGCAATAAAATACGCTATTCCCAATTCATCAAATTAATTAAAAAAACCCATTAAAACCTTTGATTTCTTCTCGTAATTACGACGACCTTGAAGTGATGTGGATTTAACCCCTTAACTTAATAAAGAATCTAAAATCACACAAGTAACACAAACCTTCCGAATTCCTTAAGATAATCGCACAATTTAAGAACAACGAACCGGATATGACTTGTAATTCGACCACTCCTAGAACGAATTCAAGACTACTCAAACTACTTAGACTAATCCTAGAACTAAGTATTTTGATGAACAAATCTTAGACTACTCCTAGAACTAAGTATTGCACGATCTAATTATCAAAACAACTCCTTGAATTGAAAACTAGAAAAGAAAACGTTAAAGCAAAGCTAAACAATTAGTATTAAAATAATCTGATTTTTCTATATCTTTGTGTGAACTAAAAGTCACGAAATTACCACTATTTATAGGCATAAGAGGCATCTAATCCTACTCCCACAAGGATTAGGACAAACCCCTAACCTTGCGCTCCAAGCATCCTAACTAGAATAGAATAACTACTTCTAATTAGAATAGGAAACTAACTCTAAACAAACTCTTAACTAACTAAAAACTTTCCTAAAAAACTTGGGAAGTTTATAGAAACTAAATAACAGAAATTAAAGTCTATCCTAAGTGTTTAAACCAAGAAAAACCCTTTCAAGTGAAAGGTAAAAATTTGCAAGCAAAAACTCTAGAAAAAACGAAGTAAAACAATAAATCATCCTTTTCATCCCGGAGTCATCACGACCCACACGCTCCTGACAATTGTGTAGTTGGGCTCATTCCGGTGCCGGGGAGCCAGCGCGTGGCAGCCGTGATCTTCGTCGGAAGTAAGCTGCTCCATTTCTTCTTCCTTAATGATCAAGCTTCCTTCTTTCCCAATTGATCTATTGAACCTTTACTTGTCTATGTCTTGCTTGGGCAGCCTATAATGAAGTTATTTGGACCTTCTCAAAGTGTATTAGATCCTTCAAAAGAATTAGCCTCTTGATTCACATCATTGCCATATCATCCGATCATAGTCAACCCTCTTCTTAGGATCCGACAATGTACATAAGCCTCATGAACCGTGATAAACTTATCAACTGATGATGTGGCATTTTTTAAGCACTTAGACGTGACAAGAACAATATCAGGATGTAAAACTTTAACCTATTTCCTTTACACAGCCTTGATCTCTTGACGAGAGGCATCGACCAGAACCCCAGTTTGAAGGGAGGACTTTTAGAAGCTATCCCTATGGAAGAGGTGGAGTAGCAGCCAGTTGTGTAAATGGTGGGGAGAGTTTGTCGGAATGAGAGATGATACAATGATATGGCGGTGTTACGAGGATGATTGGTGGTGGAGGAGAGGGAAGAAGTTAAGGGTTTTGATGAAAATAATGGTGTTGTTGCAAATGCAATTTTTAAGAGGGTGTATTTTGTAGTGGTGTTGAATTATAGTGGTTGATTTAGATTTCCACCACTGTTGTTTTCTCTCTGTTCTTGGTTTTCTTTCAAGCTTTTTTTTACAAATTGTTCGGAAGGGAGTATGTTTTGCAATTCAATTTAAGGACCTAAGTTTTTGGAAAATGACATGTAATTAATTGCAAGGGACTAGCATTTGCTCTGGTGGGTTAATGTTGAGTTAAATGGCCAGATTGTCAACCCCAGGTCCCAAAGGGTGAAAAAAAAGTGGCAAGTCCCAAAAGATCACCATTTGTTGGTTCTGTCTTGAGTTGATTAAAATTTATTTAGCAGTACATGTTGCCATGTCATTGCCAAGTGGCGAGTGCTATGTATGAGGTCATGTGAACAATAATTACACAATTAAGTCTATAGTATGGATAAGATAACTAGACAAGGGCTAATTTTTAATTTTTAAAATTTTTTTTTATCACTTTTCTTACTTAAAAAAAAAAAGCTATTCAAAGGATAATTTTACATAAACTTGATTTTCATTGATAAGGACGAGTTTTGGAAAAAAAAAATAAAATTCAGGGCCACAATGCCTGCGAACTGCCGTGAAGACCGTTTGGATATTCATGAGATGTACTTTTTCTGCCATCAGTGCGATTGGGACTGCAAATTAGCCTGATTTTTTTTTTATGTGAGGAGAACCCTGTTCTGATGCAATGGGATTTGTTATCTGTGAGGGTGTTGGATGTTTTCTATAGCTTGAGTGAGATCCATCAGAAGCAGAAGAGGCTGTCTGATCATTTGAAGAGAGGCTTTTGGATGTTGTCATTGGAGCTTGCTCATGGAGAAAAGAAGCTGGCAATTGGCGAAGAGTGAGGTAGTTTGTTGTCTTTGTAGAAGTAGTCTCAAAAATCTTTAATTCACTTGATTGAAATAAAGATTGATGTGACTTGTAGGTTGACTGGTATATGTCCAGCAAAAGGGGGTACTGCTGTAAGGCAAAAAGGGTAACGGGTATTGAAGCAATTACAGCAATTAGAGTAGGAGCCCATTGTACCCCTTCTCGGAAAGTGATGAAGAATGTAGCAGTGAAGGCCACTATCATGGTTGCTATTGAAATGAGCAGCAAAATAAGCCCGCTCATGAGTTTCATTGGCAATGATACAAGGAAGTCACTCTCTGCGTATCTTGAAGTAAGGATTGATAAGAAGATCAATATTGAAGCAGTAGAGGTGAACAACGATACTCCATTTGACACTGAGAAAACCACAAAACAACCCCTTTTTTGTAGGACTGGATATCCTTTTTCATTAACTCCTCCAGGTAATTGGAAGGCTGCAGTGAACACCATGGTAGCAATTAGAGTTGCAACTAGAGCACATGATTCTGCTGTTTTCTTCATCCAATCCTCCCCTTTTGTCCTTAATCTTTCATGCTCTTCACTAAACACCGCATGAGGTGTTTAATGATCATTGTTTTCAGCTTCAATGTAATCAGGCCTCACTATCCTCTTCACTGCCTGCAAATCAAACTCTTGTTAGTTGTGATGATGGGAAGTCTATAGAATTTAAACAACTCTTAAGGCTTATAGCCTTATTTAGAATACCTTGAACCACAAAAGCTCTCGTTGCATTTGCAAAGTTGCCCCAGACACACAATTTAGCCGATGAGCAGGTGCCAACTTACTAGCCAAATGCAACATGTTATTTCCATTATCATCTTTGTATGTAGCTATCAAGTCTTTGATTGCTCCAATTTCATATATAAGTTTGAATATCTCCTCTTGGCGGTGCTTTACGGCTATATGAAAAATAGTATACCTGTTTTCATCTACCTTCCATATTAGATCAGGATAAGATTGGATCAATGTTTTTAAGAATTCGACCTTCCCCAACTTGGCTGCAACAAACAGTAACCGCCATGGGTAGCCAATCGGTGCAGATATATCCTCTTCCTTCTGTCTGATGACTTCATCCCAAAGGCGCTGTATTAGGTCAATTGCAAGTTGTGGCTCCATGTTTTTACCTTGATCTATAGCGGTCCCTGAAAAGAATTTTTTTACGTGCTCATAAATCCATTTTTATCTTATTGTGAGATTGACTAGGTATGTGTCTTGGAAGTTACATTGCAATGAGAACCTAACATTCAGTTTTCCATCAGATGGCTTTAAGGGTTTTCGAGCCAATGCATGTAATGTGGTCTTTCTTTGCATCCCGAAGAAGGGCCAAGTTGCGGTGGTTGCTTAGAATTTGCAATGCCACATCTGTACTATGGAACATTTTCAAATATAGAGAAGGTTAAGAAGTTAGAATTAGTACACGAAAGCATATTGCTTTGAACTATGTGACCATCATTTCACCTCAATTAAAAGCATTAGATAAAGGGTGGGTGTTTAGGGTGTGAGACTGCCAGTGGAAGTATCAAGTATTATATGTGTCCGAAAAATAGAAAATATTCAACATGAGTTGTTGAGATGAAAATCTAAGTAACAGTCTGTTGTTGCCATTGATATAGGAATTTGGCTTACCGAACATATCGGTGTCAATTGAGCTGGTAAGCAACCCTATTCGATCTTGGTCTGTCATCTGTTGATGATCGGTGACTTGAAGAAGGTACCACACCATATGCTGATGACCTAGCAAGACCGCCATTTGGAGTGGAGTCATATTTTGACTGCCTCTGATGTTTGGCAGTATTTTGTTTTTTTCTACCATCAATTCTGCAATTTGATCCACCCCGGAAACAGCAGCGAAGCAGAGAGCTGTGTTTCCAAGTTTGTTAGTTAAGCTAGAGAATCTGCATCCATAATATTAACTAGTTCCTTAACAAGATGAGGTACTTGGCTGCTGCTGCTATGTGAAGAACTGTTTCCCCACCTTTTGTGATCTTTGAGTGAATCCATGTAGGAGATACACGGGCTACACGTTCTATTTCTAACCAGTCACCTTTAAGCGCTGCTCGATAAATTTTCACTCCGTATGCCAAGAAATCTTCACCTGTTACATATGTGGATGTAGCTAAACATCACTCGAGGACATTTATTACTCATCTGCTAAAATGTTTTTTCCATTTTGCGGTGTTTTACCTACAATGCTCTTTTGAGGTAAGAGATTGAAAAGTTATCTAGCTCCTCAATAGCTTTGTGACTGCCAGAATGCCAGGATTTGAATCTCGTGTTAACTGAATACCTTTGTTCGGATTAGTACTTTCGAAATACAGGAGAGTTGACGCCAAAAATAAGATTTTTTTTTTTTTTTTTTTTTTTTTTTTTTTTTTTTTTTTTGTGGAAGATAAAGGAGAGGTGTTGGAACCAGAAATGTTGTTGTACTGTCAAAACTCAAAACAAGCTTTTTGTACTTTGATTTTGCCTGATTAGTAGTTTGAAGTTTGAATCCCCCCAACTAGATCTGAGTCTGATATCAAATTATTATTGAGTTGGTCGTTGTATATATGTTTGTTTTTCTTACAAAGATTCAGGCTTGTTCTTATTAATTGTATTGCAGACAAGTAATAATATCATTTGGTGAATTTTCTGTAACTTGTCAAAATTAGGCTTGGTTTGTTTTTGTGGTAAACATTTTCATGGAAAATGATTTTCCTTCATTTCTTCATTTTCCTTTGTTTTGTAAAAAGGGTGGAAAACAATTTTCCTGGTGGAAATTTCCTTTTAAGAGAAGGAAAGACATTTTCCTTTTGTAAGAAATAAAGGTATGCCATGTTTTTCTCATTACTCCGTACTTCTCTATCCTTCCCCTCCCTTTACTTCCATTTCCCTTTTTCTCCTTAAGTTTCCTGTAATCAAATAAACAAAGGTTTTCCCCAAACATATTTACCGTTGAAAATTGTTTTTTTTTTTTTTTATTTAAATGATTTTCTATGAAAGATGTTTCCATCAAAACAAACGGAGCCTAAATGATTTTGTGAGTTTTTATAGATGCAACTAAAGATCTTAAGCTAAAATTAAAATGATAATTTGTGTTTTTATAGATGAACTCACCAGGTTGGTTAGCAGGAGAAAATGGTCCTGCAATTGATGTTGGTGGTCGAGGCAGAGGTACAGGTTGAGGTCGCGACGGAAATACATCTTCTGTCTGCCGTAAACTCGTCATTTGCTGGCTTCTTCTTGTATCTTTTACTGCTGACTTGTAGGTATCAGACTTTTGGTGGTTAAGCTTGGTATTATGATTATGAAGATAGTTACTTATCACCGGAAGGCAATTTTAATCCAATTGCAGTTGTAATACTACTATACTAGGTACATTTTCTTCTTTGGAGATGAGAAAATGTTGAAATGAAAATCCGAGCTTGGTGAAAATGAAAATATGCATGGGAGAATGATATATCAAGTCAACTCAAGTCTGTGTCCACTGTCCGTTGTGCAAATGTAAATTTCGTTCCACTTTCATATTGAAGTAGCCTTTTTATTTCTAAACGTGTGGGAATCTGTTAGAGGTTAATCTAGAAAAATCTAGATATGGTATGAAAAATCTAGTGTGTAGATTATAAAAATCTAGGATGAAGTAGGAAAATCAAGAGGTTTTGAAATATCTTGCAAAATATCTAAGATGAGTGATGTAGAAAAATCTAGATACATGTAATACGAGATAAGTGTAGAAAATTCTAGAAAGTAGAAAAACACCACTATAAATATGTTTTGTGTGCATGAGTAAGAAGTGAGCTAATCATGAGCTCCACCAATGGTTGATAGAAACTAAGGGTTCTATCAAGAGAGTGAGAGACATGAGCTCTCACAAACATGTTTGTACAATTTATGATGAAATTTATGAAATCATAAAATTGTTATATGATATTCGGGTCCATTAAACTTTCGCATGTGCCCAAATTTTATCATGGTATCAGAGCCGAATGTGATTACGAAGAATTTGAAGACTGAAGGACTGAGATATGAAAAATCTCAAGATTGACATTGAAGAGGATATGGAGAAAGAAAAAAAAACAAGGGTAAGTTTTTGTGAAAATTTATGTTTTTGAAGAAATATCAAAAGAGAAAATTTAAATTAAAAACATTTTGATAGAAAAACTAAGATTGAAGTACATCTTGATAAATATTATTTGAGTTGCTAATGACAAGAGCATTAGTGGAGTGGTTGGTGACATGAGCACCAACAAAGTAAAATTGTTGGTAACATGAGTACCAACAAAAAAGCTGAGAAAATTACAATTAGGGGGAGCAAGTTCAAGTTGGTAACACGGGTACCAACACAAAGCATTGAAAATCAACAAGATGTGCTGAAGAAATAAATTTGGGATAGTTGGTAACATGGATACCAACATAAAAGATCAACAATATAGAATATGAAGCAAATCAAGAAATGGTTGGTGACATGAGCATCAACGTGCATAACAAGGAAAACTTCAAAAAATCAAGTTTAGAGATCATTGAAGAAAGAAGCATCAATGGAGCTTTTTCAACAAAGATTTTTCAAGATCAAGGGGGAGTGTTAGAGGTTAATCTAGAAAAATCTAGATGTGGTATGAAAAATCTAGTGTGTAGATTATAAAAATCTAGAATGAAGTAGGAAAATCAAGAGAGGTTTTGAAATATCTTGCAAAATATCTAAGATGAGTGATGTAGAAAAATCTAGATACATGTAATATGAGATAAGTGTAGAAAATTCTAGAAAGTGGAAAAACACCACTATAAATATGTTTTGTGTGCATGAGTAAGAAGTGAGCTAATCATGAGCTCCACCAATGGTTGATAGAAATTAAGGGTTCTATCAAGAGAGTGAGAGACATGAGCTCTCACAAACATGTTTGTACAATTTATGATGAAATTTATGAAATCATAAAATTGTTATATGATATTCGGGTCCATTAAACTTTCGCATGTGCCCAAATTCTATCAGAATCGCCCCAACTAGGAATATAGTAGTAGAAAGTGACTGTTTGCAACTTGTCAACCCGGTGAATGGCAAGGTTAAGGATAACTCTTTCATGGGTATGTTGGGCAAGGATATTATTTCTATTTCTAATTTATTTTTGAGAATGTTAGTTTTTGTCATGTTGCTAGAGAAGCAAATGGTGTAGCTCATGCTATGGCTCATCTTAAACCTCTCGAGTTCTCTACGGGAGATTGGGTTGAGAGTGTGGTGGAAGATATTGTAGCTTCCGATTTTTGCTTAAGTGAATGAAATCTAGTTATTGTGGCTGTTTCGAAAAAAATAAATAAATATATTCCAAGTTAACCATGTGAAGCTTGGTGGAATTGGTGGGGAACTCACTTTGTGACTTTGAGGTTACGAGTTCGAGCCCCGCCAACTACATTTGATTAGTAGGGAGATTCTCTTGCCTCTTCCCCTCTTCCGCAGCCCCTGCCAGCCCCAACCGCCACCGTTGGGAGGCTGCTTCGCCGGCAACCCACCTCTTTCGCCATCTCACTTCCGGCATCCTTCCCTTCCCCTCGCCTCGACCCCACCACCACAACCAATCCCCTCTCCTCCTTCTCTTCTGACCCCATTTTCTCTTTCTTCCTCTCCACTGACTTCTCCTCCACCGTCCACCACCTCCAAGACGACATTCATCTCCAATCGTCTGTTTGTCGCGTTTGATTGAGATCTAGACCATCACATTCACCTAATCATCTTTATGGCCATCACCATCACATTCACCCCACCATCACCATCACCACCATTGTTGTGGTTTAGAGGCGACGGATGGGGTAGGGGGATGAGTGGCGACCAGCGCGGGTAATCTAGGGTCTGAGCGCGACGAAGGATCCGGCCTGGGCTGGTGGTGGTTGTTTTAGATAATTATTTTTTCTTAAAACAAAATATTTAATTAAAATAAATAATAATTGATTAAAATTAAAATTAAAACTCATTTTTTGAGCAATCACGTGGTGACACGTGTAAATTGAACTTAATAAAAAAAAAATTACCTACTCAATTGTTTACAGGTCACTTGGGACCATTTTGGGCGGATTGAGTATAAAGGTCGGATTATTTAAAAATATCCAAAGGTGAAATTATTTTGGGCGGACGCCATAAATATGAAATTATTCCAGACAATTTTTCCTTATTAAAATTTCAAATCACTCAAATCTTGCAACTCCATATTTTCATAAAAAAGAATTCTCCTTTAAGCAATAACTTTTTACTTTTTTTTAATTCACTTTTATCAAAATGCGTGCAAAAGGTAAATGAGATTTTCGTTTGGACATTTGCACTATTATAACTGAAAAAAAAAATGAAAAAAAAGACGGTTTTATATGGCGTGGGCCAAGATCATCTGGTGGATGATAATAAACAATTTCATGTTTTCTTAATTAGAACATCAGCCCATATATGATACATTTAACCATAGTAAGAATCATAATTCTTTGCTCTCATTATGACAGTACTCTAGGATTAAAAACAGATGATTAGCTAAAAGAAAATGAATTATTAATATGAATTCAGATGAATAACTAAAAGAATGATTAAATGAACAAATGAATAGCCTAATGGCCTAGAAAATGATTAGAGTAATAGCTCAAAAAAAGATGAGCAAAAGCTTCTGGCAGATCAAATAAGCTGATATGAATAATTTTCCTTGCCAATTTTAAAATCCGCTTCAAGGATCAGCTTCTGAAAACAAATCATTTGAGGAATAAAATTTGGGAGTGTAATTCTCTGAAGCACAAGGTGCTACTATCTGCGAGGGTGTTTGCCAATGGGAAGGATTGCGGCAAGGTATGTTAGAAGTAATAGAGGTTTTTGGATGAATCTTAATTGGATATATGGATACCGTTGATGCGGCATGTACAAAGGGATCATGCTGAGAAGAATTGTCGAAAAGCTTTGTTTCGCTTGATTCGAATAGAAATTGATGAGACTTGTAGGTTGAGCGATAAATGTCCAACAAGAGAGGGTACTGCTGCAAGGCAAAAAGTGCAACAGGAACAGATGAGATCAGGGCAATAGGAATAGGAAGCCATTTCACACCTTCAATAAAAGTTATGAAGAATGTAGCAGTGAAGGCTAGTATCATGGTTGCAATCGAAACGAACAGTAAGGTGAGCCCCATCATGAGCTTTAAGGGAAGTGAAATGTGGAAGTCATTTTCTGCATAACGCGAAGTGAGAATTGATAAAAACATCAGCACAGAAGCGAGGGAGGTGAACAACGATACTGCATTCGACGAGGAAAATACAACAAAGCATAGACTTTTCAGTAGGACAGCACTTCCTTTGTCGTTAACACCTCCAGGTAGTTGGAAGGCAGCTGAAAATACCACAGTAGCTATAAGAGTAGCAACGAGTGCACATGATTCAGCAGTCTTCTTCATCCATTGCTCTCCTTTGGCTCTTAATTCTTCATGTTCTTCGCTAAACAAGGTTTGAGGAGTTTTTTTATCCTCGTTTTCAGCTTCAACATACTCGGGTCTTACTACCTTTTTCACTGCCTACAACAAAGCAAGAAATCAACAGGCTTAGTGGTTGTTTGGTTAGATGTGTAGCAAGTGCCAATTTTTGTATGGTCCGATACAAGACTTCCTACTTCCTAGTCGAAGTTATATAGGCTGCATCTTCCACAAGTAGATCGAATTGTCATTGTCAACCATAAAGCATATAGTTATGTTGTTTTTATATGTTAACAGATTAAAGCTTAAAATTATCAAAAGAAATGGATTATAGAATTTGCATTGACATAGAGTTATCATCACCTTAAACCACAATATTTCGCGTTGTATTTGCAAAGCTGCCCCGGACACAGAGTTAAGTCGATGAGGAGGTGCTAACTTGGCAGCCAAATGCAGCATGTTATTACCATGATCATCTTTAAATGTAGCTATTAAGTCCTTGATTGCTCCAATCTCATATATCAGCTGAAAGATCTCCTCATGACGATGTATGATCGCAATGTGGAAGATAGTACGCCTATTTTCATCTACCTTCCATATAAGATCAGGATAAGACCGGATCAGGGTTGTTAAAAACTCCACCTTCCCTAATTTCGCTGCAACAAATAGTAGCCTCCAAGGATAGCCTATCAAGTTCGATATATCCTCCTCCTTCAATTTGATGACTTCGCCCCAAAGGTTTTGTGTTAGTTGAAGTGCAAGCTGTGGCTCTACCCTTTTCTCTTGATATATGCTACTCACTGAAAAAGATCGAGTGAACATCAATTAATTGATCGATTTGACACTAAATGGCAAATATAGAGAGCAATTTTACATACATTATTAACAACTTATTTAATCAATCGATCCATGTGACATTCGGTGCTTTTTCTGTGTGGCTAACCACACTGTGTGTTTTGAGTTATTTATTAAGGGATACTTATTTAGGGATTACTCAGTCGGGTAAGCTGTGGCTCTACCCTTTTCTCTTGCTCACGGTGTGGTCAGCCACATATAAAAATTTGTGTTTGACGTATAAATATCAACTTTTCATACATAGCAACTTACTTAATCGCTCCAATATCACGCTCCATATACTCGATTGATGGGCTTTGGGCTTCAGCGGTTTATGAGCTAGCGCATGTAGTGCAGTCTCATTCTTAGCATCTCGTAAAAAGGCTAAGTTCCGATTCTTGTCAAGAATATGCAATGCTACATCTGATTCATGAAACATTGATCATAAGCAAATAAGAAGCATGGAATTTAATTTGTTGGAGTAGCAACAAATACTTTGTGATGTAGTAAGAATGATCTCAACTTATATAATCTTGCACCCTACACGGTTACACTTCACATGTTTTTAGTTCAACATGAAGTCACAAATGTCTTGAGGTAAAATGAAGAGTCCGGGTAAGAAATAAACTTTAGGCAGTTAGTATGTAGAGTAAGGAATTAGCTTAATTACCAAACATATCCGTGTTGATTGAGCTATTAAGTAATCCAATGCGGTCTTGATCTGTCAATAATTTATCTTCAGTGACGTCGAGGAGGTACCAAACCATATCCCGGTGTCCTAGCAAGACGGCCATGTAAAGTGGTGTCATCCCTTGACTTCCTCGGATGTTAGGCAACTCGACATTCTTCTCCACTATCACTCTTGCAATCTCAACAACACCGGACACGGCCGCAAAACAAAGTGCTGTGTTTCCGACCTTATTTGTCAAAGCAAGAGAATCGGAGGACATAAAGTGTACGAGCTTTTTAACAACCTCAACATGTTTTGCTGCTGCGGCAATATGAAGAGCTGTTTCGCCTCCCTTCGTAATCTTTGCGCGGATCCAAGAAGGGGATTGACGCTTAATCATGTCTATAGTCAACAAATCACCTTTCATGGCTGCTTGGTATAGTTTCACACCATATTGCAAGAATTCCATGCTTGCTTCATCTATATTTTCATCATATGTGAATATACATAGAAGCACCGCAATATGATGACGTACTACGGAGAATTCATTGAAATGGTTCCACTTGATTTCTCACGATTATAAAGCACACATTTGATTATATATACATAGTACTTTGTTCTTTTTAAATCCCAATAATGTATTTTACTGTGGAAAGTTGTAAATTATTCTTTCAAATACTCAATGAGACGAATCATATCAGACCTTACTTATTGTAATATTTTGATGTTTGTAAAATTGTAATAGTGATACTATTTAATCAAAAAACTTATACTTTGCGTAACCATTTGAGTGAGATTTGTGAAGTCTATCTTCTAAGAGTAAATTAAGTCGCCACATCGGTAAGGGCAAGTGGGAAACAAGCCAACAACGATGACTTTACACAAATCGTCTTGTTTGCGTTGACGAGTCATCTCTATTATGGGAGTTATGGGGTGTTTGGCATTTGGTAAGATGGGATAGAGATAAGAAGAATAAGGTGAAATAGGGATAGAAAATAATGCTATTCATTGTTTGATATATAGATTGGAATAAGTCAAAAATTACTTTGTAGTCCTTACTAACTTTTCTTCTCCCTCTTCCTCTTCCCCTTCATTAAGGGTAAAAAAAAACTTTTTATCCTTTTATTCTATCCCCATTCCTTATACCATTTCTCCAAGTTATTATTATAACTAGATAATTAGCTTTTTTCATCCCTTTTATTATCTCCATCCCTCTAAATAAATAAAAGAGCCCTCTTATCTAATCTCCTCTCCCTTTAAACAAACAAGCTCTCAAGAGATTAATGTCGTGGCCAATTTAAAAATTATTCACTCCGTAATTTATAGGCCTGATATTCTCCCCTTGAACTTCATTTTGTAATCTATATTTGGAATACACCTAATTAAGTGGGATATTGCAAGATCTTTTTCAAATTGTGTCTTAAAAAAAATCGTTTCTTCCCCAATAAAATATGTCCCACAGTATTTACTTTTTTATTCATGTAATAAAGACAATAATATACAAAGTTGTTGGGATAAAAGAAGTATTAATGCAATGAAAGCAGACTTTTAGCAGGATTCCAACAAGTCAACTTATGTCTCGTTTAACCAGCAAATCATTGAAATTGTGAAGCTGAAATTGCTAGTAATAAGCTGCTTTTAATTTTATTTTTTTTAACTTTAGCAAAATAGTCAATAGTGAAATAGGGTATGCAATATGAACTTACATACCCTTAGTGTACAGTCTGTACACTAAATCCACCCATGCACGTAACTCAAACTTTTAAAATAATTTCTTTACCATAAACGAAGTACTTAATTTCCTTAATTATTGTTCCTACTTTGATGGTGATTATTGTTTCTAGAAAAGAAAGGTTAAACTTGGAAAAACTTTTAAAATGGATCAAGGGAATAGTATAATTAGCTCAAAGAAGTTAAAGCTTAAAGGTTTTTTAATTTGAAACTTTAAAATTTTGGATAAGCTCATATAGCAACATCGAAAGCAAATTAAAGTTTTTAATTATGTAGATGATGATGAGTTGATGGATATAGTTTTTTTTGGTGGAGTGGAAACGGAGCGGTGAAAGGAGAGAGTTCATTAGTTCAAGTAAAAATTATATAAAAAAAAAAAAAAAAAAAAAAAAAAAATGGGGACTAGTAGTATAAAGTTGTGGTACGGTTGATCTTTAATGATCATTATAAACTTAAAGATGAATTGTTCAATTTTTTTTTTTCTCGATAAAGTAGGTTTACGTTCGGATTTCCTGATTAAGTCTTATCCATAATTCCTAAAAGTGAAACAAAAAGTAACATTTTTTTTTTGTAATTTATAAGATTAATAATATTATATACAGTTCCACAATACTTAAAATATTTTCATTGAAAAGAAAATATTTACAACATCAATGAACCCAAAAAAGAAGAGAGAGAACTTTGTAATATATAGAAGATGTTTTGAATTTTTTTTTTGGGAAAATTAATGAACATTTTATTTATTAAAAATTAAAATTTACGAATTAAAGTCGTGTTTTCTTCCCCTGATTCTTATTCAAAATCTATATTTTTATTAGAATTTTACTAAGGAAAAATTCATGGGAATAATCTTACCTTTGGGCCATTCGTTTTTAATAATCCCACTTTTGAGATATTTTTTAATAATTCGACCTTTACCCCCCAGTCTTTTTTAATGGTCCCAACCGGTTATGTAAGCTGTTACAACAGGTTACTTAACACGTGACGGTCTGTGATTGGTCAATTAAAAAAAAAAAAACAACCAGTAGCCACCAGGGAGCCAGCCCAGGCTAGCCCCCCTACCGCCGGTACCTGATCCGACAGACGCGCCGGCGGCCGCTGGCCTCCCTCCCCTTCCTCTCCTTCCTCGACAACCCCATGCTTAAGCTTAAAGAAGACAACAATGGAGGAAACTTCATTGAAGCTCACGTATGGAGTTCATGACATAATGGTAACCTACTTATTTCTTCACCAAAATGCATGAAATTTGTATCAAGATGCTCACAATCCAACGTATATTCAATTGGTGCAACGAATTACAATAGTAGCTTAACCAAACAAAAAGCCCCAAATTGATTTTTTTTAGAGTTCTTCACACCCACCATCCCACCTTCGCACCACCATCAACCAACCCAGAAACCCCCACCGTCCCACCTTCTGTCTTCCCGTGACAAAAATCAACCAGCTCACAAACCACCACCTACCATCCCACCTACGCACCACCATCAACCAACCCCCACGAAATTTGAGTATAAGTTTTAGATTTTCACTTTGATGAATGTTATTTAAAGCTAGTTTGAGAACTAAGTACGAAACTACTCCATTGAATTATTGGTTTTGCTTTTGGAAAAGCGAAAGGTGCTTTCACGTGTCTGCAGTACGGTACTTCAAGGCAGGGGAGGAGGAGCGGCGGCGACAAGGGTGAGGGGAGGGGGAGGAACGACAGGGGTGGGGTGATGGGAGGAGGAGGAGCGGGGGTGGCAGGGAAAGATCCGGTGGGTGGGTTCAGGGTGGGGGGTTTATTTTATTTTTTTAATTTTTTTTAATTTTGGACAAATCAAATTGTGACATGTGTAAATTAATTTTTTTAAAAAAAAATTACCTACTCAACTGGTTTCTGATAAAATAGGACCATTAAAAAAGAATGGGGATAAAGGTTATTAAAAAATATCTAAAAAGTGGGATTATTAAAAACGAATGGTCCAAAAATGGGATTATTCCCATAAATTTTTCCTTTTACTAATTAGAGCTTATTTAACTTGTTTGTTGCAACTAATTAATCTTCTGTAATTAGAATGTTTTTTTACTCACTTAATTTGAAACTGAATTTTACTCTTTTACTAAGTTACTATAGTTAGAAATACTGATTTTACCATATTAAAAATAATTTTATTGATTGAAGCTTTTTTATATAATTATTTCTAAGGTGAAGATAAGCTATTTTTAAAGAAATACTCCATCCTACCTAACAAATAAAACAAAAATATTACGAACAGTACAAAGTATTACTACAAACTAAAATAGGAAAGTGTGAAAAAACAAAAGAAAATAAAGAGATCAGAGTAATTTTTTTAAAAAAGAAAAAATTTATTTTACCTAAATTGTTGAATTGTAATTTTCATATATGTACATAAAATAAAAAAAAAAATAAAAAAAAAAAAACCAAACCCTCCTGCACTCCTTACCTGGTAGAAAAATGGGTTGAAGCTGAGATCCAAGTTGAGCACCTTCTCGGGCTAAAGTGTCCAAATTTGGGTATGGTTCTCCATCTTCTCCCTCCATCATTTTCAAAATAAAATAAAAATAAATAACAAAGAAGTATATGAAAATTTTTAGCAATTTTCTTGCAACCCGTTAGTATAATTGATTAATTGTGTGGCCATTGTCATGGATAAGAGCAGTACATTTAAGGAATATAAGTCAACGAAAGAAGTCTTTCTAGCTAAGAGTACCCCTTTTTTCTTTTTTCTTTTTTTTTATTTTTATTTTTATTTTTATTTTATTTTTATTTTTTTTAAAAAAATTAAAATTAATTCATTAATAAAAAGTTATATGATATCTAAAACGATAAATGAATTTAACAACTACATAATTTGAATCAAATAAAAATTTCCTTCATAAAAAACTACGATCATCGAACAAATCTTGTAATGTGGAACATCTCCCGCTTATATCACTGGAAAATACAGTTTTGTTGGAGAGACAATCTAACGATCCCCTTGTAGTCGTGAGGATGATTTCCATCGGATTCATTTGATCGTATTCGAAAAATTAATAACCTTTGCAGCCCCACATAATTTTTCACCAACGAAACAATTTTGTCTTTCGAAGGAGTTCGAAAAACCTTGTCTTTCGAAGGAAATTGAAAAAACATTATCTTTCAAAAGAGATCGAAAAAATCTTGTCTTTTGAAGGAGCTGAGATCGAAAACCCTTTCTTTTAAGGGAGATCTCATTATTATAAAGCAAAAAAAAAAAAACATTATCTTTCAAAAGAGATCGAAAAAATCTTGTCTTTTGAAGGAGCTGAGATCGAAAACCCTTTCTTTTAAGGGAGATCTCATTATTATAAAGCAAAAAAAAAAAAAAAAAAAAAAGTTAAAAAAAAAAAGTTTAGAAAAACAAAGGTTGGAGTTTTCTACCTATTCTTAGAATCAACAAAGAAGGCTAGAATTTTTTTTTTTTTTTTTTTTTTTTTTTGAGAGAATAGAGGTGAGAGCTAATTACTCTTAAAAAATTTCTACCTATTCTTCCAGCTAAGAGTACCTTCTAAAAGCTTTTTATGGTTTTTTTTTTTTTTTGCTTCACTTCTATAAATGGTAACTTTATACTATATTTTATTATTTCTCTCTTACTTTAAACCCCACTCAAATTATATTATCATTTCTTTCTCTCATGATCCCCACTATTTCTCTCACATACTATCACTTTCATGGTCCCCACATTACTTTTACCATAATAAATTATTCATCCACTCACATTATTATATTATACCAAATTTATTCTCCTAAAACTACGCACATTTGCAAGTGATGCAAATAATAATAAAAAAAAAACGAAGGGAGTAATATAATAACATTTTCCACGACATGCAAAAAATAAAAGTTTTACTCTAGTTTTTTCATTTTTTTTAAATAATTATAAACACCCCGCGTGCATGGTGCACCCAAGGGTAATCCAAATTTTTTGCTCAGCTCAATTGATGATTAAATGAGCAATAATCATCAAAATAATCAAACAATACCCTTGGATGCACCGTGCACCCGGTTACATATAACAATCTCTCTAGTTTTTTTAATAGTAAAACTTCATGTAAATGACCTTTTTTTAATTTTATATAATACTCTGTACCTGCGACATTTCCTTAAATGAAGTTTAATAATCTTGAAGAGGGCCTTGAATTTTGTAAAAGTTATGCATTTGCTGCTGGATTCAACACAAGGAATTCTACAACTAAAAGACAAAAAAGAAGCAAAGAATTGAAATCACAGTATATCTTATGCTATAAGGAAGGATACAAAGAGAAAAGAAAGGCTACTGTTAAAAAAGATTTAAATAACAAGGAAGGATAAAACAATGAAGAAAAAGCTTCAATAAAAAAGAAGAGACTTGTTACTCGTGTTGGGTGCAAGACACATATTGTCATAAAGCATTGTGGTGATAACAAATTCATAGTGACACAATTTCATGAGGGACATACTCATGCACTTTATACACCTAGTTGCAATCTCTTCCAAAAAGAAGGAAGGAAAATGAACATATTGCACAAAAAAATACTTCCTTCGTTCTAGTATATTGCAACAAGTGGACTTTTACACTAATCATCACGTTTGTCTGACCACATATTATGATTTATACGTAAAGTAAAATATAGTCATGTGGGTATTGTTAGATTCGTCTCGTAAAATACTTTCACATTATCAACTTTTTATAATTTTTACTCTTACATAATTATAGATATTTAGCATATAAAATGTGCTTTAGGATGTGTAATCTCATCCTTATTGCAATATTTGTGGAACAGAGGAAGTAATTGTGAATAATTCTAAGGTAACACTTTCAAAGTCTCTTATGTTTCATGAATTCTCTATATGTTCTAATAAAAGTTGTTTGCTCATTTGACAAATGAGCAAATAATTATTTGATCATATGAAAAATGAGCATTGAATTGTTTGCTCATTTGAAAAATAAGCATTAAATTGTTCAAATGAGCAAGCAAATAATTAAATGAGCATTGAATTCTTTGCTCATTTTAAAAATGAGCATTGAATTATTTGCTCATTTGACAAACTGTTTTGTTCTTTATATAGGTGAATATTGGTCCCGTTACAACTTTTCGAATGATGAAGGAAATTGGTGGAGGATATGATAACATTGGTGCATCCAAGCAAGATTTCAAAAAATTATTAGAGATTTAAAAGCATACATTCAAGGAAGCGATGCTCAAATGTTCGTGGATAACTTTACCAACAAAAAGCTAATGTGGAGCGCCTTTTTCTTTGATTTTGAGAAGGATGAAGATTATTGCCTTTGTAGAGCATTATGGGCAGACCCCCTTTGTAAAAAGAGTTATGCTCTATTTGGTGATATAGTATCCTTTGATACCACATACCAAACCGATAGGTAATTCATTACTGTGTTATAACTACTATAGCTTAAATTAATGACTTTGTTTTAAATGACCTTAGTATAATTGCTCATTACTTCAATGTGAAAAGTGAATATCCCCATAAGTCTAATATTCTTTGATAAGAGTATGTATGTGGGCATTGAATTGCCTGTTCATTTGACAAATGAGCATTGAATTATTTGCTCATTTGACAAATGAACCAAGAATTGTTTGCTTATTTCACAAATGAGCATTGAGTTATTTGCTCATTTGACAAATGAACATTCAATTATTTTCTCATTTGACAAAAGAGAAAAGAATTGTTTGCTTATTTCACAAATGAGCATTGAGTTATTTGCTCATTTAACAAATGAGCAATCAATTATTTGATCATTTTTCAAATGAGCATTGAATTATTTGCTCATTTAAAATCTAATCTGTATGTGTAAACAGGTACAACATGATGTTTACTCCATTTACAGGGGTTGACCATCATAAGAGCTGCATTACTTTTGCTGCTGGTTTCATAGAAAAGGAAGATACCGTGTCATTTGAGTGACTGTTCAGATCATTTCTCAAGGCAATGGGTTGGAATGAACCTAATTGTAAGATCATGGATTAGGATCCAGCAATGAAAATTGTTGTTAGAAGTGTGTTTAAGAAGACTGAACATCGGTTTTATATGTGGCACATAGTGAAAAAGTTACTAGATAAGTTGGAGAAATCAATCATGCAAGAAGAAACTGGTTTCCTAAAAAAATTATGTTCTTGCATTTGGCATCTTGAAATTGAACCCGCTGAGTTTGAAGAAAGGTGGAACAAGGTGATGGTTAAATACCACTTGGAACAACATGAGTGGTTAGGTTATATGTACAAGATAAGGGATAAGTGGATTCCGGCGTATTTCAGAGATGTGTTCCTTGGAGGAATAATGCGTACAACATCAAGATCGGAAAGTGAAAACAATTTTTTCTGCTCCTTTATCAATCCTCGATCATGTGTCACTTGTTGAGTTTTACTTGAGATATGAAGCTGCAATTGATGCCCAGAGACACACTCAAGGTCAAAATTACAATGATTCAAAACACAAATATCTTGAGTGCAAAACACCACTAGGGATAGAAAAGCATGCCTCACAAGTATATACTAACTCTGTTTTTTATGAGGTTGAAATTGCTTGTTTTTCTTGTGGTGTTGATCAATTGAAGAAAGAAAATGGATTGGAAGTTGCAAAAGTAAGTGAAGGAAATCGGACTAGAACATTTGATGTTGTGTTTAATCCAACTAACAATGACACCACATGTTCTTGCAAGCTGTTTTATAGGCAAGGAATTCCATGTAGACATATGATTTAGGTTTGGAAAGCAAAAAGGTTTGAAACCATTCCTGAGCAGTATATTCTGCATAGATGGACTACTATGGCACTGAAGAAACCAATTTTGACTTGGGAGGAAATCTGTTAGAGCAATGTGCTAATATAATTGACAAGAAAAAATTGTTAAATGATTTATGGTCAGAGATACACACTTGTGTAAGTTTGGCAGAAGGCAATGATGAAGATATTCAAGACATTGTGATAAATCTTCAAGGAATAAGAAAGGATTTGGAAGCTAAGAGGATTGCAAGAAATAATGACACAACAGCTGGAAGTGCAAAAAACAAAGAACAAGATATTGAGCTATTGATTGGAGCTAGTGTGCCAACTGAAATAATTGTCAAACCTCCAAAAATTTCAAAGAATAAAGGGACTGGAGTTCATGTATCAAATGAAGAGACTTCAAAAAAGAAAGGGATTGAGATTGATGTGTCAAATGTTGAAACAAGAGGTAGAAGTGCAAAAAGGCTTAATGGAGAAAAAGAAAAGGTTGTAGAACAAAACCAAAAAAAGAAGATATTATGTAGAGGTTGTGAATTATTGAGTCATCAAAATATTAGAAATTGTCCAAAAAAAAGTGTAATGATACTTTTATATGCATATAAAATTTTGTTGAATTTTTATATTTAATAATATATTATTAATTTTGTACTAATCATAATTTAATGCTTTGCAAATATTGTTGATTTGAAAATTGAACATATTCAAATGAGTGACTAAAATTTTGTTCATTTCTCAAATGAGCAAATAGTTAGTTACTCATTTGTCAAAATGAGAAATAATTCCTTGTTCATTAATCAAATAGTTAACTACTCATTTTGTCAAATGACCAAATACTTGGTCACTCATTTGTGAAATGAGCAAATTATTGTCTGTATCCTTGGATAAAATTGATCTTTGGTTGCAAATCACTGATAAATAAACAATAATTCTTTGCTCATTTGTCAAATGAGCAAATAGTTAGATGCTCATTTATAAAATGAGTAATAATTCCTTGCTCATAATAA